AATTCTTTTACAAAAATATCCAGAACTCGTAACACTTTACAGAAACAAAACACAACAGACCTAGGGAAATGAAGCAGCTTCAGGCTGCGGGGATAAAGACTCCCATTCCTGAAGTAAGGGTCTCCTCCCAGAGGGATAGCCAGGATCCACCACAGTAAACCCTTCTACTCCCATTTTATAAACATCCAATTATTAACTGTTCCCTCTGGGTTGGAGTGTAAGAAGAGACCAAATGGAGAGATGTCTAATAGAAGTCCCACTGGGGGTAAGCTGCTTAACTAACATTAAAAAGAAGACATAGGCTCAGTTCTATTCCCTGGGCCCTCATCTGCAGGAATTATATTATACGGCACCAGTCTTAAATGGTGTTCTGCTTCAGATTCATGCAGACCTGAATGAGTTGTAATGACAATACTGTACAAGTCAATAAACTGTATCACAATACAACTTACACGATTCTGTAAGGTTGAAGAAATACTTTCTGTGCCAGTTAAAACCATCAGCAGAAACTGAAGAAAACAAACTGACATTTGCTATACCATTAATCAATGAAAAATGCACCATCTGAACTTGAATTTGCCCATGAGTTAAAACACACACACACACACACACACACACACACACACACACCAGTGCACCATCACTGAAAAATTTCTCTTTCTAATCACTACTATTACTACTTTAGATATTAAAGGTCTAGATGACTAAGTGGTATGTGTTCAAGAAATGTTCTTATTTTGAGAAAAATAGAGCAAAAATTTCAACATTTCTAGGGAATAAAAACAGTCTCATCTAGGCACCTATAAAGTCCCTTATTCTCAGAGCTGAAAAGTGGCTGTGGTACACTTAATAGAAAATTTTTATTAATAAAATAAATAGCTATATAATCCTACTGAGGGCCAGGTATGGTGGCTCATACCTGTAATCCTAGCACTTTGGGAGGCCAAGGCGGGCGGATCATGAGGTCAGGCGTTTGAGACCAGCCTGGCCAACATGGTGAAACCCCATCTCTAATAAAAATACGAAAATTAGCTGGACGTGGTGGCAGGCACCTGTAATTCCAGCTACTCAGGAGGCTGAGGGAGGAGAATCGCTTGAACCCTTGAGGTAGAGGTTACAGTGAGCCAAGATCACACCATTGCACTCCAGCTTGGGTGACTGGGTGAGGCTCCATCTCAAAAAAAAAAAAAGAAAAAAAATCCTACTGTGATCAAATTTCCATCTGCAGGACTAACCAACTTTCTCTGTCCATAAAAGTCCTGGCTTCAATTCTGTGTTGTATAACTTCAGGCAACTTATTTAACTTCTTTGAATTTGTTTCTTTTTTCTTTCTTTCTTTCTTTCTTTTTTTTTTTTGAGATAGAGTCTCACTCTGTTACCCAGGCTGGAGTGCAGTGGTACAATCTTGGCTCACTGTAGCCTCTGCCTCCCAGGCTTAAGTGATCTCATGCCTCAGCCTCCTGAACAGCCGGGATTCTAGGCACCCACCACCACACCCAGCTAATTTTTTTTTGTATTTTTAGTAGAGGCGAGATTTCACCATGTTGGCCAGGCTGGTCTCAAACTCCTGAGCTCAACTGATCCACCTGCCTTGGCCTCCCAAAGTGCTGAGATTACAGGCATGAGCCATTGCATCCAGCCTCAGTTTCTTTATTGGTAAAATGGAGATGCAAATATCTATCTCATAAGGTTGATTTAAGGATTGATTGAGATGCTATGCATACATATACCACAGTGCATGGTACATGATGGACACTAAAAAATAAAGGTGGCTCCCATGCCCTTGAAAGGACATTTTCATATTAGCTATAATTCCACAAAGTTTAAATTTATTTACTTACTTAAAAAATGTTTTTGTAGAGATGGGATCTTGCTATGTTGCCCAGGCTGGTCTCAAACTCTTGGCCTCAAACTCCTGCCTTAGCTTCCCAAAGTGGTGGAGATTACAGGTGTGAGCCACTGCATCTAGCCTCCGCAAAGTTTATTGTTGACGCGAGGGACAAGCAAACTACTCAAGTGCCCCACAATTTGGAAGAGGAGTTGCAAGATGTCTAATTTATAAGGTACTTAATAACAGTACCATGTAATATTACAAGTAAGGCTTCCTCCTAAGTGAGATTCCCGTAGATATAATATAAGGTAAAACAATGAAGATATGTGATGAGTCTATTCCTCAGCCTAGGTCAAACAGCCCACGGATTTAAAGCTGCCAGGACATTTCAGTGATGAGAATTATGTGTATAGACTAGTGTTCTTCATTTCCATCGTGTCTCTACTACTTTAAATTCAGCATTTCTCTCATTATACTCATCTTTGAGCTATTTTTTAAAATGTAACACTAACAAGGCTTTTCCTTATAAAAGAAAACTACCTTCATAGAAGAAGCACAAAACAGAGAATGAGCCCAAGAATCACACAGAAAAGGCTGCTATTAGAAAAAATTGGAGACAGAGTAGAGGGCATTGATTCCAGACCACTCCCAACAATTCTCCAGTGATTACTACAGCAGCAACAGGAGAACCCTCCCGTGAGAGCCTGATTCGCTTTTTAACCTTCTCAAATTTCAAGGAGTTTGTACAATACTTCGAGGGATCCTGACTTGGAAAAATATTTTCTTTGGCACTTTCTGTTCTATATTCAGAACGAAGACAATCAGATATTTCATTTCTTCTGCAGAAATTTCATTTTACTTCCTAAAGGGAAAGAAAAGTACAGTGAACTCCCAATTCATTTATTGTACATTATTTGAGGTAAGGGATTAACAACTCAGTCATTCAGAACATCTCAAGAATTAAGCTGATACCTCAAACTTGGCTGATGTGTTTAACCACCAAAACCAAAACCAAAATGAACCCCAAACCTCATGTGTCTAATTAATTGCAGAGGGAGAAAATAACTCAGACATCATGTAATCCAGTGGTTTTCAACCTTGACTATAGGTTAAAATCACCTGGCTTGCTCTCCAGAGATTTCCTGGAGCCCACGGGAAAATTTTTTAAAAGTTCTCTGGAGATTATAAAATGTAGTCAGAGTTGGAAACCTCTGATCTAATCTAACCCCATAGTATAAAGATGAAAGAACAGCCTAAGGCCTAATTTGTTTGTGGTCTGTCAGCTAGTGAAGGACAGGGCCTAATTAGGGGGCACATATTTCAAAGACAAATATAAATATCATAGAGGTTCTTCATTATTTTAGGCTAGCCACACCATTGTTCTCTTATATCATACTAAATAGTTATTACTGAAAAATCATAAATGTGTTTCTGTATGAAGTACAAAATTAGAGACTTGCAAGAAATCCTCTTTTGCCTCAGAAGTCCCTCTAAACCAGCTGTTTCTAATCTGGAGTCCCAAGGATAGGCTTCATGGGGTACATGAGTAGCCTAAAATTATATGCAAAATTTATTTACATGCTGTAAATACATTTTTCTGGGAAGAAGGACCACAGTTTTTATAAGATTCTCCAAGGAATATGACCTAGAGAAGATTAATAGTCATGATATGCAAGCTTGTATCACGAAAGATAGTTCAGGGAGGTTCATCTCTGGGAAATGGACCCACATATCATTCTGATGAGGGATCCCAAACTTTGAGAAAAATGCTTCTTTTTCGCCAAAACACTTTGGAAATTAGCATCATGGTTTCTGTCAGCCTATTTAAGGCTATATTGCTGATCTGATTATAAAGTTTTGTGATGTGGCCCACTTACTGCAAAGCTTTTTCAGACACGTTTATTTTTATTTATTTATAGAGACAAGAATCTCACTCTGTTGTCTGGGCTAGAGTGGAGTAGCATGATCCTCTTACTGCAGGCTCCAATTCCCGTGTTCCAGCGATTCCCCTCAGGCCTCAGCCTCCCAAGTAGCTAGAACTACAGCATGTGCCACCATGCCCAGCTAATTGTTTTTTTTTTTTGATATGGAGTTTTGCTCTTGTCACCCTGGCTGGAGTGCAATGGTGCTATCTCTGCTCACTGCAACCTCCGTCTCCCAGGTTGAAATGATTCTCCTGCCTCAGCCTCCCCAAGTAGCTGGGATTACAGGCGCCTGTCACCATGCCCAGCTAATTTCTGTATTTTTTTTTTTTTTTTTTTTTGAGACGGAGTTTCGCTCTTGTTACCCAGGCTGGAGTGCAATGGTGCCATCTCGGCTCACCGCAACCTCCGCCTCCTGGATTCAGGCAATTCTCCTGCCTCAGCCTCCTGAATAGCTGGGATTACAGGCGTGCGCCACCATGCCCAGCTAATTTTTTGTATTTTTAGTAGAGACGGGGTTTCATCATGTTGGTCAGGCTAGCTAGTCTTGAACTCCTAACCTCAGGTGATCAATCTGCCTTAGCATCCCAAAGTGCTAGAATTAAAGGTGTGAGCCACTGCACCTAGCCATGCCTAACTAATTTAAAAATTTTGTGTATAGATGGGGTCTCACTGTGTTGCCCATGCTGGTCTCAAACTCTTGGCCTCAAGCAAACAGCCTTACTTGGCCTTGCAAAGTGCTGGAATTACAGGCATGAGCCACTTCGCCTGGTCTTCAGCCACATTTATCTAACAGGAAAATACAGCAACTCACCAAGACTCCGCAAAATTCTGTTCACGCCACTGGGCTCAGACTCAGGAATTGTTTCCAAATACTGGATGGCCCGGACCTCAAACAAACCTACAAGGAAAAACTCATGATGGTGAAACTGTCTAACATTCCATACTGGGAATTACACAAAACTCTGTGCTTGTTACCAATATATTATTTTTATGGCTAAAGCAATAATTCAAAATCAACAGTTTTCACAATAAACCACTCAGATTTTGAGCCCTTGAAGTTCCATCATAGTTTTTATTCATAATATAGTAAAATCTTTCAAGGTATTCACTAAATAGACAGGAAGAACTTTATAATGGAACCGACCTTTAACTCCACTTTTCCGAAGCTCTCGGTCCTGGATGAATCCTGCAAACATTTGAGTCTCCATGAAGAGATCTAGGAAGTGGCGTACGCTTCGGGAGGTGTGGGACTTACGGAAGGGTTCCCTTTGGAAAACACGTTCCCCACGCTCAGTGACAGTCATGCTCAAAGAATAATGTCCTACCAACTCCACAAAAAACCTGACAAATGCTTCGGACACCAGAGAGTTGAGTGTCACATCTGCTGCAACATGAGAAAGAAAAAAATCTCCTCAGTTATCTGTGTCTGAAAACACTGGCTCTGGTTATGGGAGTCATGCCTAAGAATTAGGATTAAATTAATTAAATTAATCTATTAAATTAATAGATTAAAGGACTGAGAATAAATCTAGGAGTGCTCATTCTTCACTTTCTTTCTCCATGACCTACAAAATGCTAATTGCTTCTACCGTTACCTTCAGAGTCTTCTCCATCTTGCGTCCTGGCTTGCACATCTGTTGATTTCACTGTAACTGCTCTTTCAAAGGCCACCGGTGAGAGCCAGCCAAATTTAATCTGCTCTTCTATTTTTATCCTCCTTTAAGCTCCATGCTGCCTCATTTCTCTTGTTCCTCACAACTCTGTGCTCTCCTGATTTCCTGATTCCTTTCCTGACTTCATGACAAAGCAGTTGTTTTTCTCTTGCCCTTTCTTTCTCTTCCTGAGTATGGTGCTCAGACACTTCTCTTCAACATTCCTTTCCTTAAAGGGCTAACTAATTGGCACAGAGAAAGAGCTGGCTATGATAATACTGTAATTCCCAACCTTAGTTTTCCAGCCCTGTTATCTCACCTACATTGTCAGGCTATCTGTGGTTGGTTACCATTTGGCTGTCCCATTAGCACATAAATTCCATCAGTCTAAAGGTCACTATATCAGGTCTTTTTTGGAACTTGGACTATGAATTGATTAAACAAACAATACATATCTAAAGCCAAATCCATTATATTTCCCCACCAAATCAACTGATTTTGAGAAATTTAGAGGGGAAATTTCCCTCTCAGTATTCCCATTTTTTAATAAGGTTTTTTTTTTTTTTTTTTTTTCAAAATACAGACAGTCTTGCTATGTTGCCCAGGCTGGTCTCAAACTCTTGGGCTCAAACAGTTCTCCCACCTCGGCCTTCTGAAGTGCTGGGTTTGCAGATGTGAGCCACCATGCCTGGCTGACACTGCCATTTCATACTGTACTATAATTATTTCATAAAAATAATGATTTGAGTGCTAAAGATATGTTGCACTGTGCTAAGTACTTTTACAAACACAATAATCTATTAGGTATTATTATTTTTCTTTTACAGAGGAAACTGAGGTTCCAAATGATTAAATAAATTCTCCAGGGTCATCCCATCTAGTAAGTGACTCACAAGTCAGGTGATTTTTTAATCCCTATAAGACACTGTATTACATGGCCTTCCTGGTCCCAGGCTCAAACTTCAGATTCAGTTTACACTCCCCCTTTTTCTTCCACATCCAGATAGTCTTTTATTTTTAATTCCCCCTTCACAATGTCTCTTGCTCTTTTCTGTGGGATCCACCCAGGATGGGAATCAGGAACCTAAGGTTAGTCAGAGTTCTACCATAAAGCAGTTGCCTAATAGTGGGTGGCTCACTTTTCTCAGTTGGCCTGTCCATATCTGTGCAGCTAGCAGGGCTGACCAGGTGATGGTTCCAGGGTCTCTTTCTGAATTACACTTTGATTCTAATCTAGGTTTTTGTTATCTTTTGTCCAACAGACTTCCTTCTCATCTCTTTCCTTCTCATCTCTTTCCTTTTGCAGCTGAAGATCCATGTCCATCACCGCATTTATCTTTTTTTTCTTTTTGTTAATTAATTTTTTTTGTAGAGATAGAGTCTTACTATGTTGCTCAGGCTGGTATTGAACTTACCCTTCCTTGACCTCCCAAAATGCTTGAGATCATAGGTGTGAGCCACCATACCCAGCCCCAACACTGCATTCATCTTCAACACTTTTGCCTCAATGTTACATCTTATTTTCTTTCTTTTAAAAATTGTTTTTCTATTTTCTATAGTTTATTCTTTTCCTTTTTAATGTATGCACTCTACATATTCTTTGATATGTATGAGTATTTTATAAGATCAACATGAATAAACTATCCACCACAAACAAAGCTTAGAAACAGAATATTACTAATATCTTTGAAGTTCCCTGTGTGACTCTCTCTAATGGCGGCGTTCTTCTCCTACTTTCCAATAGAGTGACCATCATTTGTAATTTTTCATTTATCATTCCCTTGCTCTGCATCAGAGTTTTGCTACACACATATAAAACCCCAAGAGCATATTATTAGGTTTTTGTATGTCTTTGAACAGTATTCAAAATATTGTATTGTTCCTAACTTACTGTTTTATTCAATAAATGCTTCTAAAATTCATTTTTAGCTGGTTGCAGTGGCTCATACCTGTAATCCCAACACTTCAGGAGACTGAGGCAGGAGGCTCACCTGAGTCCAGGGGCTTAGGACCAGGCTGGGCAATATAGTGAGACTCCCATATCTACAAAAAATTAAATACTTAGCTGAGTGTGGTGGCACAGGCCTGTGGTCCCAGCTATTCAGGAGGCTGAGGAAGGAGGATTGCTTGAGCCTAGGAGGCCGAGGCTGCAATGGGCCACGATTGTACCACTTGCACTCCAGCCTGGCTGATAGAATGAGATCTTATTTCAAAAAAAAAAAAAAGATTCATTCTTAAGGCTTTATTCTCCTGAAAGTGGACATTCACATTGTTTTTAGTTTTTGCTACCACATACGATGGCACTATGAAAATTATTGAACATGTGCAAGATTCACTAGACTATGTATCTACAAACTAAATTGTTGGGTTGTATGATATGTACACCTTTAACTTGACTAGATAATGCCAACTTCAAAGTGACTAAACGACTTGACATACTCTTAATGATACTTGATATTGTCAGACTTAAATTTTTTTTTTTTTTTTGAGACAGGGTCTTGCTCTGTTGCCCAGGCTGGAGTGCAGTGGTGCCATCACAGCTCACTGCAGCCTCAAACTCCTGGGCTCAAGTGATCCTTCCACCCTAGCCTTCCAACTAGCTGGGACTACAGGCACACATCACACACCTGGCTAATGTTTTAATTTGTTTTTGTAGAGATAGGGTCTTGCTGTGTTACACAGGCTGGTCTTGAACTTCTGGGCTCAAATGAGTCTCCCACCTTGGCCTCCCAAAGTGCTAGGATTACAGGTATGAACCACAGTGCCTGGGCAGACTTCTTAGTTTTTGTCAGTATTGTGGTTGGTATAAAAAATGGTATGGCACTGTGGTTTTCATTTACATTTCCCTGAATGTAAATTATGTAGTGAGGCTGCACGTCTCTTCACTTATTTATAGGCGTATCATATTTCTTCTTCTATGAATGCTTTTTTCTATCTTTTCCTCATTTTTCTATTGGATTGTTTATCTTTTTCTTACTGATTTGCAGGTGTTTTTTGAAAAAAAATTAATTCTAGACACTATTCATTTGGTAGTTACATATGTGGAAAATGTCTTCACCTAGTCTGTAGCTAGTTTAAACCTCTTTTCCATTGTGTCCCTTGATGAAAAGAAAATTTAAAGATTTGATACAAATTAACCTATCTTCTCTCTTATAGTCTCTGCTCTTTGTGCTGTATTTTTAAAAACGCTCACCACTGTTTTATGGACAAAAAATATTTTCTTCTATTATTTTAAAAATATTTTCAAAAGCTTTGCTTTTAACATTTAAGTCTGTAAATTCACTGGAATTAATTTTCTGTATAGTATGAGGTGTAGATCCATATTCTTTTCATATAGAAGACTAATTGTCCTAGTATCATTTATTATTATTATTATTACTACTACTACAACTATTTATTTAAAACAACTATTATTTTAAAATAGGATCTCACTCTGTCACCCAGGCAGGACTGCAGTGGTACAATCTTGGCACACTGCAATCTCTGCCTCCCGGTGCAAGCTATTCTCCTGCCTCAGCCTCCCGGGTAGCTGGGATTACAGGTGTGCACCACCACACCCAGCTAATTTTTTTGTATTTTTAGTAGAGATGGGGTTTCACCATGTTGGCCAGGCTGATCTCAAACTCCTGACCTCAAGTGATCTTCCCACCTCGGCCTTCCAAAGTGCTGGGATTACAGGTGTGAGCCACCACACCCGGCCTTAGTATCATTTATTAAAGGTCCATCCTTTTTCCACGATACACAACGCTGGCACTGACACAAATCCACTTTCCTTATGCGTATGCACTCTCTATTCTGTTGCTCTATTTCTGCACCAAAACCAAACTATCTTAATTACTATGGTTATAATAAATCTTGATGTCTAGTAGTGCAAACCCTCCAGCAGTCTTGTTCTTTTTCGAGTGTCTTGACTATTCTTGGCCCTTTGTACATTCAATTACATTTTAAGGTTGGGCACAGTGGCTCACCCCTATAATCCCACGGCGTTGGGAGGCTGAGGCAGGTGAATTTCTTGAGGCCAGGAGTTCAGCCTGGGCAACACCCTGAAATCCTGTCTCAAAAAAAAAAAAAAATACAAAAAACTAGCCAGGTGTGATGGTGTATGCCTATAGGCACAGCTACTTGGGGGGCTGAGGCGGGAGGATTTCTTGTGCTCAGGCGGTCAAAGCTACAGTGAGCCATGATTGCGCCACTGCACTCCAGCCTGGGTGACAAAGCGAGACATTGACTCAAAAATTAAAATGGTAAACAACAAATTTTACAATGAATAGGCTAAATGGAATTCTAATTTTCTCTTGAACCCACTCCCATCTTCCTTTCTTCCCCTCATTCCACTGAATGTGCTGTTATCAAGGTCTTCATATTGTCAAGTCCCCTGGTCAAATCTTAGTCCTCACCACACTGGGTCTCTCTGCAGCTGCAGGCACCATTGAGTACTCATTCTTTTGTGAAATATTCTCTTTGCTCAACTTCTGCAATGTCATACTCCTGTTTTTTATTTGTCCTTTCACTTTTTGTGGAGATGAGGTCACATTGGAACTGAGAATTGTTGCTCAGGCTAGTTTGGAATTCCTAGGTTCAAGCAATCCTCCTGCCTCGGCCTCCCATTACGGGTGTAAGCCACTGTACCCGCCCACACTCCTAGCATTTTACACACACACCTTCCTGGTTTTTCTCCTTCTTTACTGGCTGCTCCTCTTAGTCTCTGTTGCTGGATCCTTCTCCTCCTTCCAACCTCCAAGTGTTGGAAATCCAACCACACCATTTACAACTAACACAGGGCTCAATCCTTAAACCTTTGTCTTTTCCAACAATACTCACTCCATAGGATTATTTCATCTGGTCCCACAGCTTTAAAACAGCAATTTCTAAATGTTTGTTTTTAGCCCCAATCTTTCTTCTAGAACATTTCCAGTTTAAGTATTAAACTTCTAATAGGTATCTCAAACTGTAACATCCCAAACTAAACTTTTTATTACTCCTCTAAATCTGCTCCTTCTAAGCCAGGTGTAGGGGCTCACAACTGTAATCCCAGTACTTTGTGAGGCTAAGGCGGGAGGATTGCTTGAGGCTGGGAGTTTGAAATCAATCTAGGCAACATGGTAAGACTTGTCTCTACAAAAAAAAAAAAAAGATTAGCTAGGTGTGGTGGTGCATGCTTGTGGTCCCAGTTGAGGCAGGAGAACTGCTTGAGCCCAGGAGGTTGAGGCTGCAGGGAGCTATAATCGCACACTGCACTCCAGCCTGGGTGACAGAACAAGAAACAAGAAACAAAAACCCCAAAACAAACAAAAAAACCCTTCCCCCTGTTGAAAATGTCTTCACTAATTCTCCCTGTCAGTAATAGCCTTAGTTTTCTCATCTGTATAATGAGGATGAAATAATAATACCTGCTTCATAAAGATAAAACAAAATGTATGCTAAGTGCTCAGTATAACGCCTGACACAGTGTAAGCACCCAACAAGTATTCTTTGCTCATTTATTTAACAAGTATTTATTGAGTATCAACTTATAGAATACCATGTAAAGTACTGGAGATGGAAAACAAAATAAATCCACTGTTCTCACAGAACTTACGCTGTAGCATATGAAACAGTGCTGAGTCATGAAGAAAACTAAGGCAAGGGGAAGAGGATAAGGAGCACTAGGGTGATGGGAACAATTTAAAATAGGACAGACAGGAAAGGCCTCAGTGAGAAGGTGACATGTGAGCACGGACCTATAGGAAGAAAAGGCAGGAGTCATGTGGATATCTGTGGGAGTAGCATTCTATAAATGTAACTGAGCAAGTGCAAAGGTCCTGAAATAGAAGAGGGCCTGGCATATTGAGGATAAGCAAGGAAGCTGATTATAAGATTTTCAAGGCACAGGCAATCTAATGCTACTTTGGTATATCCTTGAACAGAGTCCTGGGCGTTCAGTAAATATTTACCACCTTAACCTTAAGTCTCATACCTTGTGAAAAATTCTGCTCCTGAGTCAAGATTTCATTTCGTTCTTCCAAAATCTGCATCAGGGCAGCTTGAAGTTTCGGTGGTAGAATTTCATCCTCATCAGATACCTTAAGAGAAAAAAATTGAGATTTTTTTTTTTTGGTATGAGATTTGAGGGATTAAGTCTCAAATATGCCCTAGTTATTTCTCAGAAATTTCACAGAGGACTGTATATATGTTGGCTAAAGAGTCAGGCTGAAGTATCCTTCCCTACATGAAGGATCTTTCATGTTTATGGTATATATATTTTACTCTATTACAAAAACAAATAATATACTTTATAGAATTTTCTGGCACTTTTCCACCAAATGTCTCTCATCTACAAGCCTTCTGTTATATTATGAAGATATCCCCAAATAAATTGTGTTTCAAATGTGATGAACTAATTGATTCTGAAGAAAATGTCCTGCGAAACACTCTTGTTTTTCCCGTGCTTCAGTGCTCACACTCCTCTATACAGGCTACATTCGGAGGGCTGCTCTGAGAAGGCTTTACAACTCTTCCTTTCCACTTCAATATTCAGAATAAATGGTCACTTCTTTTTTGCTCCTACTATACCTTGTGTAAAGTTCTATTATGCAATTTCTACAACTTTATGTATGTCTGTTTTCCCCCATTAGACTGTAAGGCCTGAGGGTTCAAACTGTGTCTTATTCATTTTTACATTCTAACAGAATATCTAGAAATAATCAGTGTTTAATAAATGCTCTAAAAATTTAATTAAATTACAGGCTTACATGGCAATGAAGCTGGAGTTGAAGGGTGGTTTGGCCTTTTTTGAGAATGAGATATTTATGTTTCCTCCTTCCTTCTTTGGGATAGGCAGCTATGAACTGAAGCCAAAATTTTCAGGCCAATCTTGTATGATTGGCCATGGTGTCAATTCAAGTATGTGTAGGAACTAAAGTCTCGCCTGAGTCATCTTCTCTAAGTACTTTCACATATTGTCTGTCCAACGATCTACAGTAGACCTTTATCCTAAAACATCAGTAATTACCTCTTTGGCACTCACCTCCTGTAAGAACTTGTCTGCACAGAGATCAACTATCAGCACCTGTGAGATAAAGGAGCCAGGCAAGTTCAACCAGAGACATTCACAGACAAATACAGGCAATGAGAATAGTTTTAAATAAAATTTACTCAAAGTTGTAGCCCATTTAAAAGTTAGCCGATCAACACAACAAGGAATAAATTGCAAGTAAAAAAATGATGACATGCATACGTAGATTGGAAGAGACTAAAAATATATCAACTAAATACAATGTGTGGGGCCAGGTATGGTGGCTGGCTCATGCCCGTAATCCCAGCACTTTGGAAAGCCGAGGCAGAAGGATCTCTTGAGCCCAGGAGTTGGAGACCAGCCCTGGCAACACAGTTACCCCATCTCTTCACAAAATTTAAAAATTAGCTGGGCGTGTGGTACACGTCTGTAGTCCCAGCCACTTGGGAGGCTGATCTGAGAGGATCACTTGAGTCTGGGAGGTCAAGGCTGCAGTGACTGTGATTGCACCAATGAACGCCAGCCTGGGTGACAGAGTGAGAGCCTGTCACTAAATAAATAATTAAATAAATGAATAAATAAGTACAATGTGTGGACTTTGTTTGGAACCTGATTTAAACAAATTATTAAAAGTTTATGAGACAACTGGAGATTTAAACCCTGGGTTTGCTGAGATCAAGGAATTGTTGGATATTTTAGGTGTTGAGGTATAATAATGGTATTGAGGTTATGCTTTAAAATGCCCTTATGTTATAGAGATTCATATTGTAATATTTAGAGATGAAATTGTATCAGGATATCCTTCAAAATATCATGGGAAAGAGGAATGGGTCCAAGGGTATAGTCTGGCTATGGCCTGATAAGTACTGAAGCGGGGTGACTGGTACACAGGGATTCATTTTACTCTTCTGTTTACTTTTATGTATGTTTTAAAGTTTCCAAAATAAAAAAATTTTTTTTAAAAAGAAAGACAAGGTAGTGGAGTAATGGGGAAGAACAGTCTTTATAGTAAATGGTACTGGCACAGATGATTATCCATATAAACACAAGTGAAATGACCCCTACTTCACATTACACACACAAAAATCAAGTTCCAGAAGGATTCATAATCAAAAGTTAAAGGCAAAACAATAAAAGGCCCAAGAGATAATATAGGAGGATATTTTCATGAAATTAATATAAAGTAACTTAAGCAGTTCAGTAAAAACACCATCTATAAAGAAAAATATTGATAATTTTAACCACATTAAAATTAAGAATTTCTGTGCATTAAAAAACATCATTTTGGAAAATGAAAAGGCAAGCCACAGACAATGGGGCCAGTACCCAGAATATAAAAAGACATCTTAACAATAAAAGAGTAGGGGCCAGGTGGAGTGGCTCACACCTGTAATCCCAGCACTCTGGGAGGCCGAAGAGGGAGGACATCTGAGGTCAGGAGTTCGAGACCAGCCTGGCCAACGTGGTGAAACCTCATCTCTACTAAAAATACAAAAAATTAGCCGGGTGTGGTGGCTTGCACCTGTAGTTCCAGCTACTCGGGAGGCTGAAGCATGATAATTGCCTAAACCTGGGAGTCAGAAGTTGCAGTGAGCCAAGATCACTCCACTGCATTCCAGCCTGAGCAACAGAGTGAGTCTCTGTCTCAAAAACAAAACAAAACAAAACAAAAAAATAAGAGAGTAAACAATATAGTGGAAAGAGACAATGACTTTGATAAAAGATGATATTCGAGTGACCAGTACACAAACAGGAGGATGCTCGATCTCAACAGGAATCAAGGATGCAAATTAAACCACAATGTGAATAACACTAAACACCCACCAGATAGGCTAAATGATACAACAGACGATAGTTAGTTGATGGTGAAGATGTGAAGCAAAACGAATTCTCATACACTGTTGAAGGGAATTTAAAGTGGTGCAACTACTCTGGAAAACAATTTAACTTTATTTACTAAAATTAGAGATATGTTTACCCTATGACCAGCAATTCAGTTTCCAAGTACATACCCATCAAACTGCATGTGTGCATGCACCAAAGGTCATGTAGAAGAATATTTATAGCAACATTATTCATAATAACTTCAAACTGGAAACAACTCAAATGTTCAACTGTAGAATGGATATAAAAATTGTGGTACATTCACACGATGGAATCCTATATACAATTCGAATGATCAAACTATTGTTGACTTCATCAACATAGATGAATCTTACAGATATAATGTTGAACAAAAGAAACCAGGCAAGAATATATACCATATGAATCTATTTATATCAAGCTTAAAACCAGACAAAGCTGAACCACACTGGTTAAGGAGGCATGCCTAGCTGTAAAACTATAAAGAAAAACAAGTAAATGAAAACCACAAAAGTCAAAATAATGATTACCTTTGGTCGGGGATGGGGATGGAAACAGAGATTAGAAAGAGGCATCACGGGGATTTCTATGGGGCTGGCACTGATTCCATTGTGGTAATATTTCCATTCCACTTATCTATATGTGTGTTATATATGAAATAATGTTTTTTGGGTTTTTGTTTTGAGACAGAGTCTCACTCATTCTGTCACCCAGGCTGGAGTGCAGGGGCGTGATCTCGGCTCACTGCAAACTCTGCCTTCTGGTTCAAGCAATTCTCTTGCCTCAGCTTCTTGAGTAGCTGGTATTACAGGCATGTGCCACCACGCCTGGCTAATTTTTATATTTTTAGTAGAAATGGGGTTTTACCACGTTGGCCAGGCTGGTTTCAAACTCCTGAGTTGATGTGATCCACCTGCCTCAGCCTCCCAAAGTGCTAGGATTACAGGCAGGAGCCACCATGCCCGGCCTTGAAATGATTTTTAAAGTTAATCCAGAGAAGTGTATGTATGACTTAAAAACAGAAGAGCTACTCTTCAGAATAACACAAGAATGAGTCCAAGGTTACTACTCTATAAAGAAGATACAGCTTTGGATTTATGTATACCCTTGAATTTTCCCAGCTTAAAAAATACTAAAAATACGAGAAATATTATAAACAGCAATATCCTAACATAATAGAAATATTATAAATAAATAGCATAAAATGGTAATAATAACTATATCAATAATTCCACCATGCTTTAGATCACTTATTTTCACTTCTCAAAGCTCCAATATTTTCCGTAGGTTCCATTCTTCCATCTCACCTCTTCGATGGGTAGGTCCTGGAGCTGTGGTAAGGAGCAAGACAGGATTCCAATCAGGAATGGAGTAGGTGAGCACACGATGTCGATCATAGATGCTGGCAGGACTGGGATGTAAGTATGCTGCCAGGTGAACGGATACAGTGTAGCTACCACAGCGTGGCCACATTTTGACAGGGTGCTAGCAGAGGAGAAAACAAATGGTGTCATATATAGAGCAACATATGGATGATATTTCAGATATGACGTTAAAGAATCAAAAATTGATGCTGGTTAGTGATCATAGATGAAGAACTATGCGAATAGTCATTAATTTTTAACATTTTACTTAAAATTCAAACTTAATTTACTGAAAATGTTCAATCTCAATCCAGCTTTTCTCCACAATTTCTCATGTGAAAAATGAGAGTGCTTAGAAAAGCACTACCAACTTTTGACAGCAGAGTAAGCAAAATGTATTTAAAAGGGAAATTTATTACAGCCCAAAAAAGTCATTGGTATAGCCTAATGCAAGAGGCTTTTTGATGATTTCAACCATTTGAAATTATCCATGCCACTATATACCACTAGATAATTGAGACACTGATCCTACATTTTAAAAATATGCCCAAATTTTAAAATTTGGAACAAATAAAAACACCAGTGTGAAGTAACATGTTTCGCTTATTTCTTACCTTAGGCTGTTGGCAACAAAGATCACCCTACGCTCCAAAAGGAGAGATGCACAGACCCGGATGAGATGACACACACTCAGGCACTTAAAGAGACATTCAAAGTCAACATGTTCCAGTCGGGAATCTAGCGGTCGGCAGAGCTCAATGGACTGAAATGCAAGACTTTGAATCAGGGGAGCTAATGTTGGAAAACAATCCCTAATGCCAACGCTATGGATCCTGCTATTCTTAATGTAAGTTAAACTCAAGAAAGAAGGTCTGCCACATGGAGTCTGTGGAGCTTCCTACACTAATGCCAGGACCCAACGGCTTATTTTTGTGCTGTAATTTAAGATCCTTTATTCCTTCTGACAATAGTATGTACAGTCTTCATTTATCACATTGAAATTGCCATTGCAAAGCGACTCAATCTATGTATGGTAGAAAATCTCTGGGTCCTGGGTCTAGGAACAACTACGTCGCAGATCAACTGGATATTTCTCCAGGGCTTTGCAGAAATAAAACATATTCTTTACAGTTTATGGAAAAAGGAAATCTATGCCCTTGGGCTCTGGAAACTCTGCCTACTAGTGTAAGTCCTGCTTTTTAGCAGGTATCAAATCTTTTCAAAATGAGCTAACTTACCCCATCTCCAGCCCCAGGGAGGTAACTCTTAACAGTGATGGTGCGTCCAGGAGCTGGGAAGGGAGCTTCCATGACACTTCGCATGAATGGGTAAACAAGGGCTGGGGACATTTCTCTTCTCTTCTCTACTTCATCCAGAATCTACACATGCAAAATGTTATTTGATTGTGGACTAAGTTAAAAAACATAAAAGAATCCTTTCACAGGAACTGCCAAACCTGGTGTAGAGTAAACTTTAAAATAAACCAAATAAAATTTAAGATAAGCTTCTGCAATCAATAAAAGTTCAGTAAGCATCACATCTCTTGGGAGGTATCATTATAAATCAACTTATTTTTACAGGAGAAGCCCCTTTTCAGCTCACTAAGGGAGGGGCAAATTTGGTCTAAGGAAGACATGAGACAAGATAAGCTTTGGACTATGTTGCCCCTTAAGTTGAAAATTTTAGCAAACCAAAACGAAGATGATACAGCAACAGCAAATGGATTGGAGACGTAAGTTTAAGCCTTCAGGCATGTGGTTCCTACTTTACTAATAGGGAACCTTTCTGAAGTAATATGTTAAAGTCTGTACCACTTAACACTGAGAGCTCAGAAAGAATACCATTTTTCCATAGAGCTCATTCCCCACTCACCTTTGAAAAAAGATTGAAGCAGCCTAGGCGGCTAACCATGCAGTATACCTCAGGGAGTCGCTTTCCTCGGCCTTCCGGCTAAAAGGTAAAAATGATGACAAAAACAGCGAAATCAAGCTGCGTAAGTTTTTATTAATAGTAATTTGTATTAATACTGTTAATTATCTTTTACTACTCTTTAGTAGAGAGCAGGAACCCAGGCTCTCATCTTCAGTGAACACTGAAAGATGTGAAAAGTGCTAAAAATGATAGCATTATTTATTCTAGGTTTAGTGGAGGCATCTAAGCAAGAAAAGCCCTAATATGGCTGGTGAGTAACTCAGAGAGCTCCTTCCAGTAGCTCATTGTATTCCCTTCCAAATACATCCAGATTGAGACTCAGCCACTATGTTAGCAATTACTTCCTCTATTATAAATAAACAAAACAAATTCATACCCTGTCTTTTTAGAACACTCCATAGTTAATCCCACATTGCTCTTGCTGTTTAAAACTAATACAGCTTCCTTAATACACAGATCATCGAGTATCCCTTAAACTCATCTAGAGATAGTTTCTGAAGTTCCTACTCCGATTCCATTGTTCCTTGACCTCTGTCTGTAACACAAATTTGGTACTTACCAAGAGCTTCTTACAGTAGCCAAACCACCGGCTTCCATCTTCACCAGTCAAGACAAAGGAGAATGTTTCACTGAAAAAAGAACCAATAGTTCAGGATCCAAACAACCATTTATGGCATTCTCCATGGAACAAACAATTGCAAACTAGAGTCCAACAGTAGTCATTCTGTGATCTAAGAGGAGGCATATTCCATTCATTGCAAGTCACACTCCTCCTAAGGAATGCCCAGGCCTTAAGAGTATTTTGCCTTGTACTGGCGTGACAGCATAGGTATGGGATAAGCTGTTGATGTTGCTTCCTTTTGTTTTCTTATTCATCTACTCTAGGAATTAATCAGGCTTATTTTCACTAAAACTTACTTTTATTTTTTGAAACAGAGTCTCACTCTGTTGCCCAGGCTGGAGTGCAGTGGTGAAAACACAGCTCATTAAAACCTTCACCTCTTGAGCTCAAGTAATCTTCCTACCTCAGTTTCCCAAGTAGCTAGAACTACAGGTGTGTCCCACCATGCCCTGCTGATCTTTTAATTTTGTGTGGAGATAGGGTCTCACTGTCTTGCCCGGGCTGTTCTCAAACACCGGGGTTCAAACAACCTTTCCGCCCTCCCAAAGTGCTTGGGGTTATAGACGTGAGCCCCTGCGCCTGGCCTTATCTTCCTTTTGTTGAATGCCCAATTTAGTTAAACACACACAGGTAAGCTAGAGAGACTTCTGATATGTCACTTCTCCAGTTCCAAATTCTTCTCTTTAGTTCTGAGAGGCTGTATGGAGCAATGATAGGCAAAGGATTGCATCCTTGGTATATAAAAACTAGTAGGAAAAATATCAACTCCTCATTAGACACATGGGCAAAAGATATGCATAGATAATTTACAAAATGAAAACCTAAATATGCCCAACTAAGAAACTCAATAATCAAAAAAGTCAAAAATTTTTTAAGAGACCGGGTCTCATTAAATAGAACTTCCTTTTCTGAGGACTTACTTTTCTTTTCTTTTCCTTCCTTCCTCCCTCCCTCTCCTCCCTCCCTTCCTCCTTTCCTTTCTTCCTCCCTCCCTTCCTTCCTTCCTTCCTTGCTTCTTGGTCTTCCTCTGTTGCCCAGGCTGGAGTGTTGTGGCACAATCATAGCTCGGTGCAACCTTGACCTCCTGGCCTCAAGTGATCCTCCTGCCTCAGCCTCCTGAGTAGCTGGAACTAGAATGTACACCACCATGCTTGGCTAGGCTTTTTGTATTTTTTGTAGAGACAGGGTCTTGCTATGTTGCCCAGCCTGGTCTCAAACCTGGCCTCAAGTGATTCTCCCACCTTAGCCTCCCAAAGTGCTGGGATTACAGGTGTGAGCCACTGCACCTGGCCTAAATCCAAACTTGAACAATATGTATATGTCTACATTTGGCTAAAAATAAAGATTAGAAGGGAATATGACAAAATATTTACAGTGATTACCTTTGAGTAACCAGATTGCCAGTGATCTGTAATTTCTGCTTTTTATTTACTCTTCTGTATTCCCCAAATATTCTAGAATAAACATACATAACTTACTGGGGACGGGGGGAAAGGCAGCCACAGAGCAGCCAGGCTAACATAAAAGGTGCTGTTTATGCAGGTAGCAGTGCGACGGGCAACACAACAGCATCGGCAGTGATGGCTGAGAGATGAGAGTGTCAATCAGGCCAAACCGGTTGTGAGAGATAGTGGCTTCATCTGGAGGCAACGTGAAGTTGAAGTGCAGAGCTATTTAAGCAACGGCTGAGGCTATTACCCAGCAGGTCATTGGCGTGTGATATGATTCAACTAATCAAGCTTTTCAAACTAAATGGCATCATCAGTAACTACAGTTTTGAACAAAGCAGGCATCTATTAATATTTACAAGCAGAGTTCAGAGATGATGATAGTTTATTAATTAAAAACAGCCATTTCCTCTAGATACCTGGAAGAGATTCTTTAACACTTTATTTCTTAATACACTACACTTCCCAAACAGGAGCCTCACTTTGTACAGGGGAACATATAAGCTGGGCTGTGGATTCTTCTGTTAATTTGAAGAAGAAAGAAGATAAAGACATTGCTCTGTTTTATCTCTGTTTCTAGGTTGAGTCTCAGTATCCAAGTCTTTTCTCCTTTTCTGTCCACTTGGGAGCATTTCTGATAGTATGTAAAGTAGAACTTTTGATTTTTTTGGAAGAACTGGCAAATTGAAGTGACTCTCAAATTTGTTTTCCTTTGATACTGAAATTATTCCATGTTTTTCTCTTTTTAAGTCCCACATAGGAAATGTTCTAATTCTACTTCTTCCTTTCCTCCCACCACATCCTTGACCTGCCACAGTATTCACATAGCTTCACTACTGGCCCTACCTATTTCTTAAATACTCTGATTTATTCCGTTCTAATTAATAGAAATCAGATAAATTAGCCCATTTACCTCTTGAGTTCTGAGGTTGGCACCCAGTCCTTTGAATCAGGAAAACAAAATTTTGGGATAACTTTGAGTCTCTCTTCTGTGTCTTTGGACTGCTTATAGCCATGATCATCCTGAAAAAGATAACACGATAGGCGACTATTATACTATGTAAGGTGGGGAACAGAAATAAAAAACAGCCTAATCTCAGGAAAAAAAGGTCTCTGATAAGCCTGAGCGGTTGCTGGTAAGTTTCAGCATAGTTTTGTACTGCTTAACAAAATTTAAAAATCAATTCTGGAAATCACTGAAGATGCACTGAGAACAGAGTTACTAAGAAACAAGAATCCTATTTTTACATAGAAATGGTACCTGTGGATATCTCAGAAGCTGCTGTAAGAGAGATGAATGAAAAGTTTCCTACCAAGAGGTAAAATCTTAATGCAGGATTTACACACTAATGGGAACCCAGTAGTTTTATGAACTGTGTGACATAAGATAAAAATCCATTCTTCAATATACTGAGAACAAAAACCAAGTCAGCTCAAGATACTTTCTAATCAATAATCAAAGAAGCTTTGAAATGGTAGATGAATGTTATTTAAAAAAGATAACGGCCAGATGCACTGGCTCATGCTTGTAATCCCAGCACTTTGGAAGCCCAAGGTGGGCACATCACTTGAGCCCAGGAGTTGGAGACCACCCTAGGCAACATGGTGGAATCCCATTTCTATAAAAAATTTAAAAGTTAGCTGAGTGTGGTGGCACATGCCTGTAGTCCCAGCTACTCGGGAGGCTGAGAAGTGGAAGGATCTCTTGAGCTCAGGAGGACGAGGCTGCAGTGAGCTGTGATTGCACCATTGCTCTCCAGCCTGGGTGACAGAGAGAGACCTGTCTCAAAAAAAGAAAAAACTAAAGATACTATTCTGAGAATCCATCCCATACATAATCGTTTCCTTTAGCTTATAATCTTTGCTACCTAATTGCTGGTTTGCAACTTCTTGTAAAATTTTAGCATGGCAGACCCTTTTGCATAAGTCTGGTATTGTACTTATGTAGTCTAAGTTTTAGTAAATCAGACATTTAGAAATTAGTATGACCTGTCCTCTATAAAAACAAGCCCCTAAGTCTAATTACCATATCGCCTTCAGATAACTAATAAAAATGACCTCTCCTTTAATTTCTTTTTTGTTGTTGTTGAGAAGTAGGTCTTGCTATGTTGCCCACATGTCTTGCTCCTGTATGCCAGTGATTGTCCCATCTTAGCTGCCCAACTAGCTAGGATTACAGGCATGTGCCACTGTGCCCAGCTCCTTTAATTTCTTCAGAAAAACAAACTATGTAGCCATTCTGGGTCACTTAACAGTGCTGTGACATTGTACTTTCAGGCTACATTGAGAAATTTTATGCAAAATTAAACTTACTGATTTGTTTACTGTAGGGGTATTTTTGAAGACTTTTTGAAAATAAGAATCCATGTAGGAAATGTCTCTTAGATTCCAGTACAGTTGTACTTCACTAGCTTTTTTAGTGAAACATATAATTCAGAGTTACAAACCCAAAAGTCCTGAAGTGGCCAAGCAGATAACTTAAATGAGAGAATTGGTCCAAGTAATAAGCAGGAAAGTGAAAAAAATGTCCCTATTAAAGGGATGGCTCCTTACTAAGGAAAACTACATAATAAAGAAAGCATAATGCAAAATGAAAATGTGGAGCCCCTTGTTCAAAAAGCAGAAAAAAATTAAATATAAAATATAAAACATCTTTTCTTCTGTGGCCTGTCTACCTGTGATGGAGTTTTTATTTGCTATTTAATGTCACACTCCCCAGGCATGAGAATCCTAGGGGATGAGTGTAGACTCTCACAAGCACACAGGTGCTGCAGTCTGCAATCTGGTGCACAAGTGGCCCAGTAGGTGCTGGGTTTCCTCTCTGGGCAGCTGCGGAATTGAGACTCTGTGTTTTGACTGGGGTTTGGAAAGTTAAGCTAGGCATCTTCACTTCCTATGGGGCCACCTTTCCAACCCACAGCCATTGAGCAACCCCCGCAAAAGTCACCCACAAGTGCAGTACCAGCCAAGGGCAGGGAAAGCTGCCCCATGCCTTTCCTGGAGATGTTGCAGGGCAATGCTGGCCTGATCCTAACCCTCTCGAAGCTTGTGCCCAGCCATGGGAGAAGATGATAGTAGTCACTGAGTAGAGGTGGAAAGGGCACTTGCTAGGGCCCAGGGAATCAGGCAGTGGAGAACAGGACAAGAGAACTCATCCTAGGGGAGTAGCAGCAGGTGACATTATGCATGAACTCAGGCTTTAAGACCTTGGCACATGTCCAATTTTCCAATCAGACTTCATTTACAAAAAAAAAAAAAATTCAAAGATAAACTTATTTAGCATTTCAAGATGGTGACTGCAGATTATGAAACTATACGCACAGGGCCCTTCTGAGTGGGGGCCTTATGTAACTACACTGGTCACCTGCTCTGAAGTCCTGCTCCTAAAATAAAGCTTCAACCCATTCCTGACACTTAGGAATGCAGACTGTGTTGGCAGTCTTTCCAGTTTCTCAGGAAAAGGCAGAAATACACATTTCTATGTGAAATTTGATTGTTAAATGTTGGCAACAAAACTTATTGTTGTTACTTTTACATAAACAGTATGCAAAGCAAAAGAAACCCAACCAGGTCTGTGGGCTTAACTGGTTCACAGGCTTACTAAGCTCTGTGAAGCAGAGACTAAGATCTTTTTCAGTATTCCCACCATCAAATCCTGGCAAATACTAGGTATTTTTAAAATATTTGATTAAATGAATAAATAATTTGTTTCAAAATTCAGAAAGCATAATGCAAAATGAAAATGTGGAGCAATTTTAAAAGGTTGAGCAAACTAAATATTGTTAATAATAATGGCTACCAAAAATTAATACCTACCACCATTTATCGAGTGCATACTATGTGCCGGGGGTGGCATTAAGCACTTTATATACATTATCTCACTAAATCCTTACTAACAATGGATAACATCAGATTAAGCTTTCTATACGCCAGACACTTTTCTAAATGCCTTATATAAATTAGCTCATTTAATCCTCACTACAACTCAGAGAGGTAGATACTATATTGATTACCCCCATTTTACAAATCAGGCAACAAGACACAACGTGGTGGCTCATGACTGTAATCCCAGCATTTTGGAAGGCCAAGGTGGGTGGGTTACTTGAGGTCAGGAGTTCAAGATCATCCTGGCCAACATGGTGAAACTCCGTCTCTACTAAAAATATAAAAATGAGCCGGGCATGGTGGCACATGCCTGAAGTTCCAGCTACTCAGGAGGCTTGAACCTGGGAGGTGGAGGTTACAGGGTTGCAGAGAGCCAAGATTGCATCACTGCACTCCAGCCTGGGCAACAGAGAGACTTCATCTCAAAAAAGAAAAAAAGAAAAAGTAAGTGCTTAAAGTCACAGAACTAATAAGTAGCAAATGCAGAATTTTGGCACAGAGTCCATGCTCAAAACCACTACCCTATTCTGTCACATTTATTATTCCCTTCCTTAAGGATGAGAAAACAGATTTTGTAACTTGTTAAAGATTATTGAGTGGCAGAGCCAAAAACAAAAGAAAACAAAACAAAAACCTCACTAGGAAAACAAGCTTGTTTTGTTTTGCTTTGTTTTGCTGGGTTGCAGCTCACACCTAACATAAGATGTTAGCAAAGCCACCAGATCCTACCACAAGTACAGTATTGGTAAAAGGACGTTGACATAACAAAAACCAAGAGGACGGGAAAGAAATGTACACAGAGACACAGGAACATTCATGAATGCCTCTCGGCCTTCTTGTACGCACCTTGCCAGGGAATTGCTGTATGACCTGGGGAATATAGCTTATTCCTGATGGTTTCTTCTGTAGAGACACCACCACAAAAAGTTCAAACAGCTGCTGCTCCTGTAATTCAATAAGATCCCGCTCCAAGGTCTGGTAGTGAGGATTCCTCTTGGAAGACTGGTGCAGTTGTGCTAAACGTTTATGGCGATCTGTAATGAAATTGTGGAGTGACGTTTTTCCTCTATAGCCCTACCTTCCTTCTAGCACCCAGATGTCATGACCCACATAGGATTAATCTTCACACAGTCACTGCTGAATGAATGTTGAATGACCAGTATCTGACACAGAGACATAAGGGCTATGACATACTAGGGGGACTAAGTTCAGACCCTCACAAGTGCACAGGGGCCTCACTCTGCTTCCGGCTAGCAATGGGACTGGCATTCCATGTGCCAACCAATAATCTATGCTATCTCATCTTTCATGGCACCATACCAGGACACACGGAAAATGTCACGAAAAAGTGCTAGACTGACAACAGATGCCACTGCTGGGAATGTCATGAAATAACAGGGTGGCAGGGGGCAGAGATAAGATAAAAGAATTGAGTCCTACAGAGGGTAAGTACAGAAAGGGGTGAGTTTGATAATTTTTTTTTTTTGAGATGGAGTTTCGATCTTTTTGCCCCAGCTGGAGTGCAATGGCATGATCTCAGCTCACCACAACCTTCACCTCCCAGGTTCAAGGGATTCTCCTGCCTCAGCCTCCCTAGTAGCTGGGATTACAGGCATGTGCCACAGCTAATTTTGCATTTTTAGTAGAGATAGAGTTTCACCATGTTGGTCAGGCTGGTCTTGAACTTCTGACCTCAGGTGATCTGCCCTCTTCAGCCTCCCAAAGTGCTGGGATTACAGGTGTGAACCACCATGCCTGGCTGAGTTCGATAAATTAAAACAAAAATTATGCTCACATTGAAGAAACTGTCCAGTTCCCTTCCCTCCTTGCCATATATTACTAACAATGACTATCTGCTTGTGTCAGTAAATGGTGCTATATGCAAGAGAAAAAATGAAGTGGAAGAAGATACCCATTAGCAGACTATTTTTCAAAAGAATAAAATTATGGAAGCATACTATAAACACTATTTAAACACTCATAGCAATACCACTCAAAACTGGACGGTATCTATCCCCTATTCTCATTTATCTGTAAATTTTGAGCAATCTGGAGTAGTACCCACTGAAGGAAACTGTGGACTTGCAGAACAGATAGTCTGTATGTCCCAGCGATTCGCTTACGTGTCATTCTGAGCCACTGATAGACTTAACCTCTAATTGCCTTTTCTTTCTTTTTGATAGAATGCATTCTGTCCCCAAAAAGTTATACTATAGATCAAAATATTAAGAGCATTTAAAAAAGAATTATCCAGCACATTCAATGCTCTAGGCAAAGCTTTACTTACCCCAAAAGGCTCAGTTCAAGTCAAGAAAATTTTAGGTCCTGTTTCTCAGTAGTAACAGCACTAAATTAGTCATCTTTACACATCTAGGCCGAACATGATAATTATTAAGTTTCACCTTCAGTCAGGCTATGGAATCAAACACCTGAAGCAATTCAGGCCAGTGGAGGGAGCACAAGACTATTAATCATAAAATTAGGGTGTCAGACATGGAACTGGAACTGCCCTGTACACAGGTTTAATAACTCATGTCTTCTACTTTTTCCATCCCTCAGTATGTCAGTCACTTAAATAGGAACTAGATAACTTGCTGTGATAACTAGATAACATCATCATTAGATGAAGGCTGAAGGCACCATGAAGTGCTTGGACAAATGTAGTCTGAAATGCACAGTGCATTGTATATTCTACTAGAAAGTAAACAGCACAATAATCAGGAATACAAACTCCTAGGAATAACAAATAGATGTTTCCTTTTTCAATGTCAAGAGATACTAAAGTTACTTAAATAATTACACTTGAGCGACTATGAAAAATCAGATATTTATTGCTACCTATTCATCTCAGAGGATGATTCACACGCTCTGTTTTGGCTGCTGGGAAACTACTGCATATATGTCTGGACATGCAGCTCTCTGCCGCTCCCCTAAGAATATTCCATCGAAAGAACCACACTGTTTTGCCTCACTCCACTATGGGAGACTTTTAATGCTGTCAAACATCTGACGGTGTACTGTTTAATTCCTCAAACCTCAGCAGGTTCTGAAAATAAGGAAATCACCTACAAAATGAACCTTCACGTGGGGCAAACTATGCTTAGTCACAAAGGTAGGTGCCACTCCACCTAAACCATGATCATCACAAGAACAGGAGCAGCCCCATTGACTCACTCACTCTTTGGCAGATACTCAGCATCACTTTCGTTCCCACTGGTTTCACCTGAAAAAAGAGAAAGAGTTTCCATTTGTATTGTCCAACAGTAGGAAGCACATAAGGACGAGAACAATGTAAACCCACAGACCTGGAGACTTGGAGTAAGGAATAATAAAGCTGCTGAGCCTTTCTCCAAACCACTTGGTTGTATCAGGTTAGGACAGTTACTAAAAGAGAGTAAGAGGCTCAAAGAAGAAATTACTACATCTTCTTCCCATACCCTATTTCACTCCTCGGGTCCCCGCTCATCCCCAATTCTGGAAACTAATTGCATTTCAGACCAGTTTTAAGAAGTCTATTTCAGAGTGGATTCTATTTCTATATCCACATACTTGTCTGTATATTCCAAATAAAGTGTCAAAGGTAAACACCACAAGGGCTAAACAAAGATCTAAACACCAACCAGACTCAAAATTTAGAGTAACAGGAAAGCGTGGGAACTAGGAGATATTACTAAGTCAGTCCGTCTACCTCTTCTATGATGTCTCTAAACTATTTCTAGTCCATACTGATCTTTCCTTTACTATGAATCCTCATAGTACTCATACTGCTTTGAACTATTCGTACTTTCCCTAATCAGATTTTAAGTGTTTTGAGCATAAGGGGCTATGTTGTTTTCAAAGGGGAGTGTTGTGTATAATTCTGGGCACACAGACAATTCACACACACACACATACACAGACGCATGCATGCACGCACGTGTGCGCGCGCACACACACATACACAGACGCATGCATGCACGCACGTGAGCGCGCGCACACACACATACACAGGCGCATGCATGCACGCACGTGTGCGCGCACACACACACACATACACAGGCGCATGCATGCACGCACGTGTGCGCACACACACACATACACAGACGCATGCATGCACGCACGTGTGCGCACACACACACATACACAGACGCATGCATGCACGCACGTGTGCGCGCGCACACACATACACAGACGCATGCATGCACGCACGTGTGCGCGCGCACACACACACACAGACGCATGCATGCACGCACGTGTGCGCGCACACACACAGACGCATGCATGCACGCACGTGTGCGCGCACACACATACACAGACGCATGCATGCACGCACGTGTGCGCACACACACATACACAGACGCATGCATGCACGCACGTGTGCGCACACACACACACAGACGCATGCATGCACGCACGTGTGCGCGCACACACACATACACAGACGCATGCATGCACGCACGTGTGCGCGCACACACACACATACACAGACGCATGCATGCATGCACGTGTGCGCGCACACACACACATACACAGACGCATGCATGCACGCACGTGTGCGCACACACACACACAAAGCAGCTTTTAAAATAAATAAATGATTGAAACATTTCTAGATTAAGTTTGAAAAGTTAAAGCAAAATAGAAATGCAAATAAAGGGAAAACCTTTAAATGTATCAGAAAAAATAAGGTCTAAAAGTCATAAGTGAAATTTGATTATATAAACTTGTATCTAATTTAAGAATCAGTATTAAATTCAAAAATTGAACAATAAACTGGGAAAACATTTGTAAACACATCGCGGATACAAGGCTAAGTTTCTTAATATTCAAAGAACTGTTAGAAATCAAAAAGAAAAAGCACAACAGAGAAAGGAAGAAAGGGTGAGAATAGGCAATTCATAGAAAAAGATTTATAAATTGTTGATAAACATGAAAACTGCCCCAAATCATAATGAAATAGATGTCAATTAAAACAATAAGCAAGACATATATTTTCATCCATGATATTGCCATAAAAGGCAAACCACCATGGCACGTGTATACCTACGTAACAAACCTGTGTGTTCTGCACATGTCCCCAGAACTTAAAGTATAATAAATAAATTTTTGAAAAACCACACACACACACACACACACACACACACACAAAGAGACTTAGTAAGTAAGGTGTGATCTTGGCTCACTGCAACCTCCACCTCCCAGGTTCAAACAATTCTCCTGCCTCAGCCTCCTGAGTAGCTGGAATTGCAAGCATGAGCCACCACACCCAGCTAATTTTTGTATTTTTTGTAGAGACAGGGTTTCACCATGTTGCCCAGGCTGGTCTCAAACTCCTGGGCTCAAGTGATCCACTCGCCTCAGCCTCCCTAAGTTCTGGAATTACAGGTGTGAGCCGCCATGGCTGGCCACTAGCTAAATAAAATTACTTTAATCTATGCAATGAAATACAATACATCTATGTGGACCTCTATATGTTGATACTGAAAGAGCTCTGAAATACATTAATTAAGCTTTTTTAAGAAGGAAGGCATACAAAGTCTGAATAGTGTAAGAGTATTTGTGTAGGAAATGCATTTGCATGCACTTAAAATTTTCTAGGTGTGCAAGGAGGAGGTTTGGGAAACTCTGGCTTTTCATTTTATAGTAAGGAATAAGAGAACATTAAAATAAATGCTGCCTATTCTTAAGATAGGTGGAAAAGACCCATAAGAGATGTTACAGAAAAACATGCTTATTTAAATATTGCATATTACATATTTTATAACTCAAAATTAACCACCATGACAAAACGTATGGTGTGACTATAAAATATTATTCAGAGGAAGTAACAAACACTGTGAGCTCCTGATCCTGTCTATAGTCTTAGCACCAGGTACCTCTTAGAAACTTAGGAAGTGTTTGGCAAGAAAGAAAAGAAAAAAGAAAGGAAGAAAGGCAATATATCCAGAAAAGCCCTTACAAAAGATCATTTAACTGGCTTTAATATATTCACATCTATGAGTTTTGAGGACCTATATTCTAAGACAAATGAATGAAGGTTAGGGGGATTATGAGCCAAGAAAAAAATCTGAGAATCCACAGGGATTGAAAAAATACCAGGTTGTCCTCTATTAATATGAGACTTCAACACACAAAATTATAATGACAGAATTGAAGAAGGTGGATAAGTCATTTTGAAATCCTGAAATCTGAAAGTTAAGAAATATTTAGGACCAGGTGTGGTGGCTCATGCCTATAATCCCAGCACTTTGGGAAGCTGAGGAGGAAGAATCGCTTGAGCCCAGGAATTCAAGAACAGCCTGAGCAATATGTTTAAATTTTGCCTTTACAAAAATTTAAAAATTAGCTGGGTGTGGTGGGCACAAACTTGTGATTCCAGCTACTCAGGAGGCTGTGGTGGGAGGATTGCTTGAACCCAGAGGCTGCAGTGAGCTGCGTTTACATCATTGCATCCCACCCTGTGTGACAGAGTGAGACTCTGTTTCAAAAAAAAAAAAAAAGGGCGGGCGCGGTGGCTCACGCCTGTAATCCCAGCACTTTGGGAGGCCGAGGCGGGTGGATCACGAGGTCAACAGATCGAGACCATCCTGGTCAACATGGTGAAACCCCGTCTCTACTAAACATACAAAAAATTAGCTGGGCATGGTGGTGCGCGCCTGTAATCCCAGCTACTCAGGAGGCTGAGTCAGGAGAATTGCCTGAACCCAGGAGGCGGAGGTTGCGGTGAGCCGAGATCACACCATTGCACTCCAGCCTGGGTAACAAGAGCGAAACTCCGTCTCAAAAAGAAAAAAGAAAAAAAACGGAAGAAATATTTAGGTTGGAATATTCGGTAAACTCTAGCATGGACTTCAGAGTAGGTGAATATCATTATCTATTGTATTAGGCATTGTTGACATACAGACAAAAGCTTAAGGAGGAAAATGAAAATCTGAGAACTCTGATGATAAAGCCAGGAGATCCTCAGGCACAAGAGAAATTCCTCTGGTGCACTGGCAGAGTTGGTCACAGAGGTAGGTAAAGGTAAATGCTTATTTTCTCTGAGCCATGAGTGAAGTGCTACAGTGTGGAGGCTGCTCCTTTTTTCTTAACTTTTGTTTTGGACAGCAGAAGTTGGCTAGAATTTGAAGGATTTTTTTTTTTTTCTGTTCAACATTAATACAGTTTAAAAAGTTTTTGTTCTTCAAAAATTTGTCTTAGAGCCAAATTTACTAAAATGTCCCTAATTCATAAGGCATAGACATACAAATAAATTAAAGGCTTGGTAATAACCTACTTAGAAATACCTGAACAGTGGCCAGGTGCAGTGGCTCATATCTGTAATCCCCGCACTTTGGGAGTCCAAGTGGGCAGATCATGAGGTCAAGAGATCAAGACCATCCTGGCCAACATGGTGAACCCCATCTCTACTAAAAAAAAATACAAATTAGCTGGGTGTGGTGGCATGCACCTGTAGTCCCAGCTACTCAGGAGGCTGAGGCAAGAGAATCGCTTCAACTAGGGAGGCGGAGGTTGCAGTGAGCCGAAATAGCACCACTGCACATCAGCCTGGAGACAGAGCAAGACCGTCTTAAAAAAATAAAAAATAAAAAAAGAAAGAAAACAACTACAACAAAACCAAAAAAGAGATACCTGAGGAGTAGTTATGAATAGACTGCTGTTAATCTGAGAAAATGTTAATGTTTTGCAAGCACTTGTCCTGGCCCCAATGTCATGATAATTTACGTAATTTGCAATTTAAAATTTATTTCCTTATCCATAAAACAATGAAAATACTATCTGCCACAGAGTTATTTAGAAAATTAGTTAATTAGAAAATTAGGAGAGAGATCCAAGATGGCTGATCACTAACAGCTCAGGATTGTAGCTCCCAGTGAAAGCTCAGAGAACGAGAGGACGCCACACTTTCAGACAAATTTTCGTTGCTCAGGGACCAGCAGATTTCTAGTGGAGGAGCCCCACGGGTCGCCAGCGCGACTCTTGTGGCCGGCACAGCGGTTTTGCCCACGCCTTGGCGCGGCAGCTCTTCATGCAGAGTAAACGGGACTGGTTCCCTTACTAACCAGTGTTTGGAGCCCCGGGAAGGCAGAGCCGCTTGTTGCGGACTCACGAAGGAAGCCAGACCGGAGATTCCCGGGCAGAAGAGCACCATCAGTCTTATCGCTGCTATTTTGGCCGGCGCAGTGGGTTGCTTGAATCCCAGCACTGGGAATCAATAAATTGGACATCGACTCAGAAACCTAATTAGAAAGGTGGTAATTGTAAAGACGACAGATGGATAAATTTATAATAAAGGGAAAAAAACAGCCTAAGAAGGCCAAGCATACCCAAAATCAGAACCCCTCTCCCTCTACAGGGGATTGCAGTTCCTCATCAGCAATGGAACAAGCCCTGATGGAAAAGGACTGTGTTCCATTATCTGAAGTAGGCTTCAGAAGTGGATGATAAGAAACTTCTGGGAATTAAAAGAACTTGTTCTAACCCAATGTAAAGAAACATAGAGCGGAATATAAATGAACTAACGGAGTTGAAAAATACAACACGAGAACTTAGTGAAATATGCACAAGTTTAAATAGCAGAATGGACCAAGCAGAAGAAAGGGTATCAGAGGTCGAAGACCAACTTAATGAAATAAAACGACAAGACAAGAATAGAGAAAAAAGGATGAAAAGGAATGAGCAAAGTCTCCAAGAAATATGGGACTAAGTGAAAAGACCCAATCTACGTTTGATTGGTGTGCCTGAATGTGATGGAGAGAATGAATCCAAGCGGGAAAATACTTTTCAGGATATTATCCAGAAAAATTTTCCCAATCTAGCAAAGCAGGACACTATTCAACCCCAGGTAATACAGAGAACACCACAAAGATATTCCTCAAGAAGAGCAACCCCAAGGCACATAATCATTAGATTCACCAGGATCAAAACAAAGGAGAAAATACTAAGGGCAGCCAGAGAGAAAGGCCAGGTTACCCATAAAGGGAAGCCTATTAGACTTACAGCAGATCTCTCAGCGGAAACCCTACAAGCCAGAAGAGAGTGGGGGCCAATATTCAACATACTTAAAGAACAGAACTTTCAGCCTAGAATCTCATATCCTGCCAAACTAAGCTTCACAATTGAAGGAAAAATAAAATCTTTTATGAACAAGCAAGTACTCAGAGATTTTATTACCACCAGGCCTGCTTTACAAGAACTTCTGAAAGAAGCATTATACATAGAAAGGAACAACCAATATGAGCCTTTCTAAAAATATACCAAAAAGTAAAGAGCATCAACATAAAGAAGAATTTACATCAACGAATGGATAAAATAGCCAGTTAACATCAAATGGCAGTAACCCTAAATTTAAATTGACTAAATCCCCCAATCAAAAGATAGAGCCAAAACCTAACGGTGTATCCAAAGGTACACAAAGACTCAAAACAAAGGGTTGGAGAAAAATTTACCAACCAAATGGAGAGCAAAAATACATAAATAAACAAAAAGCAGGAGTTGCAATTCTCACATTTGATAAAATAGATTTCAAAGCAACAAAGAAACAGTGGTAAAAGAATCAATGTGACAATAAGAGATCTTAATACCCAGATACATAAGACCCATAACGAGATTTAGACTCAATGAGACAGAAAATTAATAAGGATATCCAGGACATCAACTCAGATCCGGAACAAGTAAACTCAATAAATATTTATAGAGTTCTCCATTTTAAATACACAAAATATTGATCGGCCATTATTAATACCCATTTTTAGAATAAAGCAATATTCCTGTTTTCTCTCCCTCTTTTTCTTCCTCTTTCTTCCTCTCCTTCTCTCCTTTTTTTACTTTTCAATATCCTAGTTCCTCACCTCTACTCAATACATTCCTCTGAACACCTGATTCCTTGTGATTCTCCCGTCCCACTGAAACCTCCAAAGAAAAAAAAAAAAAAAAAAAGAGAAAGTGTATCCCATGAGGGAAAAAGGGATGATAAAGATTAGATCACAGATTTTTTTTTTTTTTTTGAGACAGAGTTTCGCTCTTGTTACCCAGGCTGGAATGCAGTGGCGCGATCTCAGCTCACCACAACCTCCGCCTCCTGGGTTCAGGCAATTCTCCTGCCTCAGCCTCCTGAGTAGCTGGGATTACAGGCACGCACCACCATACTCAGCTAATTTTTTTTTGTATTTTTAGTAGAGACGGGGTTTCACCATGTTGACCAGGATGGTCTCGATCTTTTGACCTCGTGATCCACCCACCTCGGCCTCCCAAAGCCCTGGGATTACAGGCGTGAGCCACCGTACCCGGCCCTAGATCACAGATTTTAAGGTACACTGTATACAGGGAGGTGATCTTGGAAAGTTGATAACTTAGCAGGGAAAGAAAATTAAAAGGCAAAAAGGTGCCAACCTCAAACCATCAACCCTGCCCATAGATAGAGACAAAAAGTCTTTATTTATTTAAAACACACACATACATAAATAAATGGTTATAGGAATTTCAACAATTCATCTGATAAAAACTTTCTTAAAAAAAAAAAGAAAATTAGTACTAATGCATCGGAAAAGACGCAGCACAATATCTGGCACCGGTTTTCATTTTCTATATCTAGTTTTAAATTACAGACCAAAAACCCTTGACAATACCATTGCTGAAGATGAGGAAATACAGGGAGAAGAGATGGTAAACTGCTAAAAAGCAGGATTTATGAGAAAATTGACTGTTGATGATAGAAAAAGACAAGACTTTCTGGAGTCATGCTCCTTGATTCAAATCTATGCTTCCCCCTCTGTCTTAGCTTGTTTGTAAAATTATGATAGTCCCTACCTCGTAGTATTGTCATATGTTATACATGAAATAAAATCTGTCGAGAAACTATTACTTCATTCCACGAATGGTAGCTGCTGTTAATAACAACAACCAAAAGACCAAAAATGACCAAAAGTATTTCTTCCCCAGAGAAGATTGAAACGTGTTTTAGTAACTGCCTCTCAAAAATGAAAACTCCTATTAAACATAGTGACCAGTTGATTTTGATCAGCACATAGTCAGAAAGAGACTTAAGATGTAACACAGAAGATTTTATTTTCAGATAGTAAGTTGTTATAATATAGAATAGATTTTTGGCCAGGTGCGGCGGCTCAAACCTGTAATCCCAGCACTTTGGGAGGCCCAGGTGGGTGGATCACGAGGTCAAGAGATCGAGACCATCCTGGTCAACATGGTGAAACCCCGTCTCTACTAAAAATACAAAAATTAGCTGGGCACGGTGGCGCGTGCCTGTAATCCCAGCTACTCAGGAGGCTGAGGCAGGAGAATTGCCTGAACCCAGGGGGCGGAGGTTGCGGTGAGCCGAGATTGCGCCATTGCACTCCAGCCTGGGTAAGGAGCGCGAAACTCCGTCTCAAAAAAAAAATAAATAAATAAATAAATAAATAAAAATTTTAAAAAATAGATTTTTAAAGGTAATTAAGAAAATTCTGGCTGGGTTTGGTGGCACATGCCTGTAATCCTAGCACTTTGGGAGGCCAAGGCAGGCGGATCATTTGAGATCGGGAGTTCAAGACCAGCCTGGCCAACATGGTAAAATCCCATCTCAACTCAAAATGCAAAAAGTTAGCTGGGTGTGGTGGCATGCGCCTGTAATCCCAGCTCCTCAGGAGGATGAGGCAGGAGAATTGCTCAAACCTGGAAGGCAGAGGTTGCAGTGAGCTGAAATCTCACCACTGCACTCCAGCCTGGGTGACAGTGAGACTCTGTATCAAAAAGAAAAAGAAACAAAAAGAAAATTCTGTCTTTAGAAGTCTGCAAAAAGAAAAAATATTCTCCTTTGCTATGACTTAGCTGTTGTTTCTCACTAAGGAACTTAGAAACAAAACTTGCTAAAAAAAAACAAAACCGTGTCTCTATTAAACACACAAAAAATTAGCCAGGGATGGTGGTGGGTGCTCGTAATCCCAGCTACTTGGGAGGCTGAGGCAGAAGAATCACTTGAACCAGGGAGGTGGAGGTTGCAGTGAGCTGAGATCATGCTATTGCACTCTAGCCTGGGCAACAGGAGCAAAACACCATCTCAAAAAACAAAAAGAAAAAAAAAAGACATACCCAAGACTGGGAAGAAAAAGAGGTTTAATTGGACATACAGTCCACATGGCTGGGGACCAAAGGCCCTTCTTACATGGTGGCAGCAAGAGAAAAACAGAATCAAAAGTGGAAACCCCTGATAAATCCATCAGCTCTTGTGAGACTTATTCACTATCATGAGAATACCATGGGAAAGACTGGCCCAATGATTCAATTACCTCCCATGGGTCCCTCCCACAACACGTGGGAATTCTGGGAGATACAATCAAGTTGAGATTTGGGTGGGAGCACAGCCAAACCATATCCCAAGCAACCAAATTAAGAATCCTGCATAAGTTTTTAAGAAAGTTCCAATGATTTATTATGAATGTTGAAAATTTCTTAATTAACAATGTAAGTTTTATCTAGGCATCTGAAGGATAAAACTTATTCAATGACTACAAGTTGAGTACCACATACCTTCAGTCCATACATGACTAATGCTTTCATACCCACAACAAAAGAAGTCTATACTGATAAATGATTATAAATCAAAGTAGGACTACAAAATAGTGATTCAGTCTGTCTATGAAAATCAGTCTCATTGGTTAATGATTATTTTTTCATTTATTTATTCATCCAGTAGTTATTGCTTGGCACAGAATTAAATAAAATGGATTTGAGAAACAATCCTTATCTTTTATATATATATATATATATAAAATTGCACTTTAGGTTCTGGGGATCATGTGAAGAACATGCAGGATTGTTGCATAGGTACATACATGGCACTGTGGTTTGCTGCCTCCAACCCCATCACCTATATCTGGCATTTCTCCCCATGTTATCCCTCCCCAACTCCCTAACCCCCACTGTCCCTTATCTAAATGAAGTTTATATTTAAGTGGGATAACAGGAAAGTAAACTGAAAATTTTATTACATGTCAAACATTAAGTTACATGGTGATTCTCCTCTCATACCCTGACGGCTACAGGACAGCTGGAACAGAACACAATTCTTACCTTTTGTTGGAGGTACTTCCTTTCCAGTGTAAGAATGTAACTTCACCCTCTTCTTCCCTCTTTTAGATTCAAATATGTCATCTATTTTCAATACAAGCTGAAAAAAGGACCAGAAAAATACCAACAAAATAAATGAAAACCAACACCCAGAAGTTTCACAGTTTGATGACATTAATCTATTAGGGATTCTTATTCAGAGAAAAGACCTATTTTGTAAATAGAAACCTTTACCTTTTTGAATTTTGGACTTAAAATGATGATCTTTAATTAGATGATATGTTGTTCTAATATCAAGTCCACATAACATGGGGAAGGAAAGTGGGAAAGGATATCGGATGAACCCAGCATAGGCTTTGAGATTCCTTGTCAGTCCATGTCACAACATGCAGGAAATGTGGCTATTGCACTCTGTATAGTGAACAAGCCTTTACTATTAAACTCAAGTTAAACAGTAAAGAAGTATTAAGTATTAAGAAGTATTAAGCATGGAGTAGGAAGTGGAACACTCATTTATCTGAAAGGCAGGGTGAGGCATAGTTATTTTTCCTCCCAGAAATTCTTCCCAAGGAGTGGATAAACACACTTAGAAAGCTTTTGTCAAAGGGAATATTCTCTTTGCCACTGGGAGTACTAACATTACAATTTATTTTAGAAATATGTCATAAAAATAGGAGACCCAAATATACTCAAATACAAAAACTATGTTTTTTCTTCCACTCATCAACTTATTTCTCAAGGAAGTAAAATCCAGACCATGTATTTTTAAACTGTTATATAATTGCTTCTCTCCATTTCACAAGTAGTTCGCATTAGAAATTTTTCTTTGCTGTTGGGAGAGATGTGTGTGTGTGAGAGAGACAGACAGGAGACACACACAGAATACAGTAGAAAAAGAGGAAAGATTTAGAGCTGATCAACAGGTACTTTTAAAAGGAGGAACTGATTAGTTTTTCTATGAATACTTTTTTTTTTCTTAAAATTTCAAGCTTAAGTATCAATCCTGATTTAACATACTTAATGCCTAGAATCACAATTGTTAGGAACATTATATATGATAACAACCAATGAAGTTGAGAAAGATGCTCTTGTGTTCTCTCTCGTCCTTGCTTCTCTAGCCATCCTGGCAATCGACAGGCAGTGCATCAGTCCAGTACAAACCACCATCCCCCGCCAACCTCCACACCCCCCCAAAAAAACATGCAAGTTACATGTGCTTTCAATACACAGATAATTACCACATTTTTGGATGAGTTTGTACTCTTAGATTTTTATTGCTGCAATTCAAGTGAAAAATTGCCAATATTTTTAAATATTACCATTACAAAAAACAAATAAAGAGAATCCAAAGTTACAACGTATTAAGGGCTATAGGAAAGATGTATGGGAATAAATATATATTTTGGGTACATAATGACCCAAAATAGCATAATTATTAATTTGCATTTGAAAAGTAGAATCAAACGTATATTTGATATATAAATATAAAGGAAAGATAACTTCTAAAAAGCAACCAGACTGTAAAAATATATATATATGAAATAAAGTGATAAATTTAAATTTCTGTCATGAGCTAGGAAGAAGAGCCATCTAGTTGCAAGAAATACTGTAGAATATTCTTCCTAAGAAATGATGGATGTGCTGTACACATAACACAAACAATAAAGGCAGTAGGAAATGTACTCTAGCAAGCAATCCCACACAGCTTCCACAGCAGGGAAGGAAAGAAAGGGTGGGGAAGAGGCATATGGACTAGATCAGTGAGTTGAAACGGTGAAGCAGTTTCCCTTCCAGGATAGCTGGAGGCATCAAAAGGGAAATAAATGAAAACTGAATACGGAATGCTGTTCCTGAAAAGATTCCAAAGCCAAAATTTGTATTGCATAAGCGACAGCCTGAAAAGATTTAATCCAAGTTGGGTCACAGGTAGAAATGCTGTCATGGCTTCTTCCTGCCTGACAATTAAGAATTCATAATCATTTTTTCCCCCCTACTTCTCCAAAATCCTTCAGAAAAATATTAGAAAAAGAAAAGTTAGAGCATATCACCTATAATCAGATAGAGAACAAACTTCAAGTACTTGAGATCCATAATACATAAAATACCAAGGCATGAAATTCAAAGCACTGTAAAGCCTCATTGAACTCTATAATCCATAATAAGAACCACATCTTAAATGCAATCCTTTCAGGTGTTTTCATTCTTCTCCCTATGAACACACATTGTTGTTTCTGGGCCAGGTGGGAGGCTGCTTCGTTGTGCCAACATGATCTACCTGAGGACAGAGTTACCGCAAGATGCCTGGCAGTTCTTTACATCTCTGTTTTAGAAATATTCCTCACCATACAGAGAAAAATAAATGGTTATTTTTTTTTTCACTGAGAGAGATCAGTTTAGCTTTTAAAAACCTCTATGCCTTTAACTTTTCACACAGTAAAGAGGAAGGGGCACAAAACAGATCAGAAGAATTAAACTGTGGAATAGAATATTTCCCAAGGAACCAATCAACAGTTACTAAACCAAGAAACAGATGTGATTTTTGTTTAATGTTAAAATCAGACACAAAAATTACATGTTAAATGAACACAATAGCTAATTCAGATAGGATTAAAGAAAGGAATAATATTTAAGTGATCTGATTTCTTCATTACAGTAGAGTATCTACACAGTATTCTGTCAATCCTGACAAATGTCACCCTGCATTATAGAAGAACAAAGCAGCAAAGAAAGTTAAAATTTTTTTCATGTAATTTCTTAAGTGTTTCTACTAAAAGAAAATGCCTGTCAGTCAGGTACAGTGGCTCACACCTGTAATCCCAGAACTCTGGGAGGCCAAGGCAAGAGGATCGTTTGAGGCCAGGATTCAGGACCAGCCTGGGCAGTATAGTGAGACTGCCTCTACAAAATAAGTAAATAAATGAGAAAAAAAAAAAGAGAGAGAGAAGTATGTCTGTCTGCAAGTAATCTCAATTTCTTCATTTTGGTTGCAGTGTTTCTAGCAGAGATGATGTACAGACTTTCTATTCCCAAGTAATAGTTATATTTGTTTTTTCTCTTTGGAAAATTTTGCCCCAAATAAATGGCATGTACTTTTTCATTACTGAAAATCTGTAAACTCAAGCACAAAACTGAACTTACTTTGGCAATTATATGAATGAGTGAATCAGAACAACACTGAAGCCATCCTGAGAGAACACCCTTTTATATAAGATTCTGGTGCTTTCTTGAAATAGGCAGGCGATTGTGTTAAGACCTAAGGTAATGAAGTGAAGTCCTCCATCTAAATCAATTTTACAAATCCATAAAGAAACTATGGCAAAAGCCATTCATGCACTTCTCTAGCAAGAGCAAAAATTTAAAATGTAACAACACTGCCTTCCAAGTCCTCTAATCCCAGTAGATCAGTTCTAACCTATTATTCATTTCAGTCGAAAGTTTACTTATTCTCATTCATGGAAATGCTGAAGTAAGAGTCAAAGAATGAAAGCACTGGAATCTTTACCCTTGGAAGATTTTTCCTTTTCCTGTTTGCAACTTCTCCAGCTCGGAAAAGCTTCCATTCAGTTAAAGTGACCGGCAAAGTAGTATCTTTTGTGAGCTTTGACCGCAGATAAGCTTGTGAGTTCTTTACTTCCATAGTCTTCCGGTGAAAAAACTGAGGTTTGGGAGGGAGCTAAAACAGAAGAAGATGTACTGGTGAGATCACCGAGTTTTGTTGCTGTTGTTTGTTTGTTTGAGATGGGGTCTCGTTTGCCGCCCAGGCTGGAATGCAAGTGGCATAATCACAGCTCACTGCAGATCCCCCCAGCTCAGCCCCTTGAGCAGGTGGAACTACAGGCGTGTGTCACCACATCCGGCTAATTTATATATATGTTTTTTGTAGAGACGGGGTTTTACCAGGTTGCCCAGGCTGGTCTCCAATTCCTGGGCTCAAGCAATCCTCCCACGTCAGCTTCCCAAAGTTCTGGGATTACAGGTGTGAGCCACCGTACCTGGCCAGTGTCATCTAGTTAATGACTGTGTTCTCATACAAAGTCAAAGCTATCCCAGAAACAGATTTATCCTATCTTTCATTTAAAATCAGTTCAAATGAAGATAACATAGTTTATTTCTCACCATTTGTAAAGAAGTTTCTCAGGTTTCTAATCCAAAGTTCCACTACAAGGTGATCAGATTCCCGGAAAACAATGGCTCACAGTTTTCATGAACTCAAGGGAACCTTTGCTTCTAGGCATCTCACATGCTTTCAGGGACTAGGCGGGTAATTTAATGGCCATAGGTTGATGTAGACTAATAGGGAGAGGTGGGAGCTGTAGTGAACTGAAAAGTTCATGACTGTCTAAAGTCATATATATTCAATTATTTTCGATGTGTTAAAACAACAATGACAACAGCAAAGAAGCAGCAGCTGGATGCTGCCCCAAAAAACAAAACCAAACCAAAAAAGCCACCAGCAACATTAAAACGTACATTTCAATGCCTCTGAGTTCTGGCCCCAGTTAAATCACCTTAATCTTTTTGTAGATACCATGAATAAGATTCTAATGTTTTCTTTAATTAATTATCTGGTTATACCTTGGGTGCTTTGAAAGCACTTTTAGCAGGCGGCAGCCTCCATGCTGAAGGGGATCTCCACACAGGTAAAGGCTGCACTGGAATATCTTCATATGGATTTTCTTTGGTGGGATCTTAAAAAATAATTTTTTGAAAAAATGTTTACATGACATAATTAAATGCGAAGATAACCACAGCTAACAAAAGACAGAGAAAACTACGTTCGGCTTCCTTATTCTACATTGCTGTAGGAATGTGGGTCTCCAGAGCAACAGCATTTTAAGCTTATAAAACCATTTATGTGTCAGAGAGAGCTCAAAGAATTCTCAAAATATTATACTACAAACATATATTTATGAGCTGAGCTGTCTATCACATTAGTTGTAAAATTCATCAGAGAATAAAATAATTTATACACCAAAGGTTTCCACGCTAAAAAGAAAAGCCTAGAGCAATGTATGCTTCATTGCAGAAGAAAATACCATCCTACAATTAAGGGCTTCGCCAAATACATAACCATTAAATTTAATTGCAAAGTTGTCAACACTTACATATGATGTCTTCATAGATATTGTCCTCAGACTGTGTGTAATAAAGTGCTGACCCAGAATTTCTTCCAAGTTCTTCACGAATCGTCTGTGAGTTCCGATTTCGAAAGTGCTGAATATCCTCAAATTCAAAGGATTTCCTTAAGAAAGGAGATATATTTTAAGGTTATATCTTTCAAAATGCTAATCTTTATTTTTTTAAAAAATTTTATTTATTATTTATTTGATTATTTGCTTTTTATTTTATTTATTTATTTTTGAAACTGAGTCTCACTCCATCAGCAGGCTGGAGTGCAGTGGCACGATCTCGGCTGACTGCAACCTCTGCCTCCCAGGTTCAAGCAATTCTCCTTCCTCAACCTCCCAAGTAGCTGGGGCTACAGGTGTGCGCCACCACACCCAGCTAAGTTTTGTACTTAGTAGAGACAGGGTTTCACCATGTTGACCAGGACGGTCTCGATCTTGACCTCGGGATCTGCCTGCCTCAGTCTTCCAAAGTGTTGGGATTATAGGTGTGAGCCACTGCACCTATAATCTGCACCTGGCCTGTTTTATTATTATTAGTTTTTGATATGGAATCTTAGTCTGTCGCCCAGGCTAGAAGGCAGTGGCACAATTTTGGCTCATTGAAACCTGTGCCTCCCAGGTTCAAGTGATTCTCAAGTCTCAACCTCCCAAGTAGTTGGGATTATAGGCGCATGCCACCATGCCCGGTTAATTTTTTTATTTTTAGTAGAGACGAGGTTTCACCATGTTAGCCAGGGTGGTCTTGAACTCCTGATCTCAGGTGATCTGCCTGCCTTGGCCTCCCAAAGTGCTAGGATTATAGAAAACTCTAATCTTCTTTAAGTTGGTATGGGAGACAGAAATAAATAAGTACAGAACTTGTGTGCAAAATTACAAAGGTGTTTTATCAGAGATCTAAGAATAACGAAGTAGGCTGATGCCTTATATACACCATGAGAAAACTGGATGCTTGTAGCCAATCAGATTCATATTCTTCATTGGGTTCCTTTATTAAGTTCACTCTGTAAGGAAAAGTGGGGCTGAGGCCAGGATGCCCTAAATGAAGTGGAAGAATGTAACTGCTTCCTTATAGATTTTCCTGAATTAAGTTTCGATTTAATTTAATTTTAGAGGCAGGGTCTAATTCTGTTGCCCAGGCTGGAGTGCAGTGAAGTGATCACCGCTCACTGTAGCCTTGATCTCCTGGACTCAAGTGATACTCCAAGTAGATAGTATGAACAGGCGCACATCACCACACCTGGCTAACTTTTTTTTTTTTTCTTTTTAGAGACAGGGTCTCACTATGTTTCCCTGTCTGATGTTTGGCTGGCATTGAACTCCTGCCCCGGCCTCCAAAAGTGCTGGGATTGAGCTACTACACCCAGCTCCTACAGATTTCTTTTTTTAATTGAGTCTGAGTCTTGCTCTGTCACCCAGGCTGGAGTGCAGTGGCACAATCTCAGCTCACTGCAAGCTCAGCCTCCCTGATTCAAACAATTCTTCAGCCTCAGCCTGCTGAGTAGCTGAAACTATAGGCACACACCACCATGCCCGGCTAATTTTTATTTTTAGTAGAGATGGGGTTTCACCATGTTGGCCAGGCTGGTCTTGAACTCCTGACCTCAAGTGAACTGCCAGCCTCAGCCTCCCAAAGTGCTGGGATTACAAGAGTGAGCTACCACACAGGTGCTGGCCCAGATTCTTAAAGATATATTAATAAAATGGAAGGTGTTCTGATACTCTTATGTCAATAGATTATCTTAGACATTACTACATTTCTACTTTTTTCTCTTCTTATTTTTCTTCCACATTAATCAACACCTGTATGTTCAAATCAGGGCTATCACCTAAACTGGGAAATGGAAACTGGTTTGAAAAGGAAAAAGCAGCTCAATAATCCCATAAGGAAAATACCTACAAATCATTATCTGTAGGATAAAAACATACCTTTTAGATCTTCCTCTGATTTTTCCGCCATATTTCTTTGGTTCAGATTCCTGAGAAGAGGCCAAAGAAGATTGTGCACAGGAATTATTTTCACAGTATTTTTTGTCACAGTTTCTTTCTTTATGTGGCGTAACACCAGATTCGGATAAATATCTGAATGTCCTACGAGGTTTTGGCAAAGGATTTATAGAAGGTCCACATTCTTGCCCCTCAGGTTCAGAGTAAATATTTTCTAAGCTCTTGGTTATTCCATATGAACTATCCAGAACTCTGAAGTTCAGTTCTTTTTCTGAAGAGTCACAATGTTCTAAAGCCAAATTTAAGAGTTTATCTGGGGGAAGTGCTTCTATTTTCTTCCACAGTATTTGTGAGGTATAGAAGTTTCCTGGAGGTAATGAAGTCTCTGAATCCAAGACATCTTCTTTGGAGCTTTCGATTGCTTTGACCCGAGAACAGACACAGTTGGATTTGGATTCATTTGGAGAGAAGCGTGCATCATCATATTCATATCTCTTACTATCGTTACCACTTTGATCGTGGCTTTTGGCATCTTCATTTATACCTAGACCCACATTCTCACAGCTAGTTACATCCAAGTTTTTGCTCTTTTTCTCAGCAACAAGATTTTTCTTAGGAAGGATCTCATGGTGACAGTTATATCTCACTCCAAAGTCCTTTGGATACCACTTTTCTGGATTAGATATACCATTAGCCCTTCCTTCCCATTGAGAAATTTTTTGTTTGATGTTTTTGCAGTGGCTTCTTGACAGTGTCTGAACAGCAGTACGAGAGAAACCAACATCCATGTTCCCAACTGGTGAATGACAAGTGATGAATCTTAACTGTGAAATACTGTATTCTTTATCCTGTCAGAATCCAAATGATTCCAGTGTTTTCCCTTCATGTTTAACTTGTAAATCTCTTTTTAAAAAGAACAATTTCGATCTGTGATCCTTGTTGAAAATGGCTACAATCTTATCTTGAATAATCCTATTAAAATGACACAAAAATATGTTAACACACTTTATAATTTCCTAACTTAAAACTCCACTAAAACATTGCCCACCTACCCTTACATAATTCATATACACTGCATACGTAAAAATATGCCTGTCGTCTATCAAGCAATTCAACTACATAAAGGGACTCCTAAGATGGTGAGATAATACTACCAAAATATTATTTGTGATATTTTTTCAAATTGTTAGCTTTAACGTTCTGCCATATTTGATTTCCTAAAGTTAGGTAGAATGAGGTTTTATAAGAGATTATACATAGTACTATACAATATTATTTTGTAATAATTCTTTTTTTTGAGAGGGTCTCGATTTGTCACTCAGGCTGGCATGCAGTGGTGGCAATCTTGGCTCACTGCAGCCTCTGTCAACCACGTTCAAGTGATTCTTCCACCTCAGCCTCCTGAGTAGCTGTGACTACAGGTACATGCCACCACACCCGGCTAAGTTTTTGTATTTTTGGTAGAGACTGAGTTTCTCCATGTTGACCAGGCTGGTCTTGAACTTGCTGAGTTCAAGCAATCCACCCCTTTGGCCTCCCAAAGTGTTGGGATTACAGGCATGAGCCACCACACCTGGCCATAAATTAATTCTTTATGAAACCTCTTAATGAAAAAAGGAGTAATGCAATATTGTAAGGAACATATATATATATATACACACACATATACATAGAATTAAATCCCCCGAAATTTATATGTCTACATCAAGAGCCAGTGAGCGTGGAAACACATTGATAGCCAACTTCCTCCTCTGTCCCATGTTGACTGATAATATCAATTCATCACATAGCCTATTTCAACTTTACTATTAGCAACACAGGGTCCCATACACACTAAAGACAACTCAAGGTTCCCATTCACCATCAGTTGCTTTAAAATGTAATAACCTATTTTGTCACTGATGACTGGACTTCCCACATCTCTGCTACCACACCCTTGACCCAAATCAACACAAATACAGCCACTGTCATATTTCTTCCATCACACGGAGGCATTACTCAGGCCCATCAACTGTTTCCTCATATGTGAAAATTCAGCAGAAAATTTTTCCTACTAACTGAGTAAAGATCTGATCTCAAGTTCTACTGTATACTTGTTATAAATAGCAACTGATTCAAAACTTCCTGAGGCAGGGATCATCCTTCCTCGAGCTTTGTCTGTGTGGCGGTGATTAACAGGCAGGAAAATATCCAAGCCCCGCTCTGTCAGTACAGCTGACCAAAACTTATACATGCACAAAGCACACACAAATGTTATTCTTGGCAGAGCAACTGCTAAGCCTTCCACCAACTTTCATTTAAACCATTCCTACCTACAAATTTGTGGGGAAACCAGCTTTGCCAGCAAACAAACTTTGGTGACAGTCTGATGTAAAAAAAAAAAATAATAATCCAAAAACTTTCAAGAAATTAAGCTCCTGTGGATAAAAAAAAATACCCAAAGCCAAAAATATCAAAACTGTTGCACAGAACTCTTGATAAAAGATACTAATGCGTGCAATTTAAAGATCTAATCTGCTACTATTGAATATTAAAACTGAAAATTCTTTTCTTACTTCTGATATTTATAGGAAATTCCTGGGATTTTAGGGTGTCCTTGAGACTCGGGTTTTCTTCACTATAGACAAGACAGGACTTTTTTCTCTGGCTCCTGGCACGTTCCTAGAGGTTTCTGGTGATCCTTGTTGACCCATTCTTTAATCTTCCCTGGTTAATGTGTTTTAAGTGTGAATGGCTCAAATTGAGGAAAAAAAGATGAAAACTGTCAGGGTTAAAAAAAATTTTAACTTGAAAATTACTGGCAACATGGCTGGGTGTGGTTGCTCATACTTGTTAACTCAGGACTTTGGGATGTTGAGGCAGGAGCCTCACTGGAGGCCAGGAGTTTGATAGCAGCCTAGGCAATATGGTCAGATTTCAGCTCTACAAAATAATAAATAAATAAAATTAGCTGTGCAAGGTGGCCTGTACCTGTAGTCCCAGCTACAGGTTGGGAGGCTGAGGCAGAAGGACTGCTTAAGCCCAGATGTTGGAGGCTGCAATGAGTGATGATCACAGCATTGCAGTCTAACCTGGGTGACGACGGAGTGAAACCCCAACTCAAAAAAGAAAAAAAGGTAAAAGGCAAATGACTGGCAACAAATGGCTAAATCTATGGAATAGACATACAAATATAAATCATGTGTACTGATGGTGTTTCAGTTGAACAGAGCAGCACAGCAGCGTACACGACTAAAAAATTATTTACTTTCTCCTAAATGTATGCTTTAATACACTATAGCTTTCAAAAAATAAACTATTTCAAAGATAAAAACACTTCAATGAATTTTAACTAGATCTATGACTATACTGATAATACAGAAAATCTGTCTTAGAGCTGATTTCACAGTTTCAATTTTTGCCACATTAACTTACACTCTTTATAATGTGGCTTGCCTGTTCTTACATACAGGTTGTCATTTTTGTCCCATATAAAAATAAGAATTGCTCACCTCAATTGTTTGATCACACAAACCTCACATCTGTCCCTTTAACCTAACTATATTCTGAGCCACCTCGCTCCTCAGTGCCTCCTCTCCCATGGCTCTTCTAGCCTGCGAGATCTTATCCATCCCATTCCTCATCTTCCCAGTTTCTTGCCTTAAGCTCCACTACTGGTAGACATCCTAACTCCTAAGTGCTGGCCCAATTTTCAAATCCTAGGTCTCTCCCAAGATTCATCTTTTGAAAACTTCCTAAACCCAACTTATTTGCATACTTGTCCTAGAAATTGCTTTCTTAAGTTTGCTTTAACAGTTCTCACAGAAACAGAGGCTGAAAAAATCGAACAGTTTCAACAATTTAAAAAATCACTGTCTGGGCGTGGTGGTACACACCTGCAATCCCAGCACTTTGGGCGGCCAAAGTGGGTGGATCACCTGAGGTCAAGAGTTCACGACTAGCCTGACTAACATGGTGAAACCCTGTCTCTATTAAATACAAAAAAAATTAGCCGGTGTGGTGGCACATGCCTGTAATCCGAGCTACTTGGGAGGCTAAGAAAAGATAATCCCTTGAACCCAGGAGGCAGAGGTTGCAGTGAGCTGAGATCGCGTCATTGTACTCCAGTCTGGGCAACAAGAGTGAAACTCCATCTCAAAAAAAAAAATTTTTTTTTGTTTTTTCTTTTAATGACACAAAATGAGTCAGAGACTTTTCCAGCTATTAAAAACTACTGAAGTCAGGCAGGACTCACAAAAAGAGAAGGTAAAGCAGACATAACCGCCATGGACAATCTCAACTAAAGAAACAGCAGCAGTAATTCAGTTCCTCATGTGAACAATAGAAGTATAAACATAAAAACTCAAGCATGAGTAGTTTTTTTCTTTTTTGAGATGAAGTTTCGCTCTTGTTGCCCAAGCTGGAGGGCAGTGGCAAAACCTCAGCTCACTGCAACCTCTGCCTCCCAGGTTTCAGCGATTCTCCTGCCTCAGCCTCCTGAGTAGCTGGGATTACAGGCACCTGCCACCATGCCCAGCTAACTTTTAATATTTTTAGTAGAGACTGGGTTTCACCATGTTGGCCAGCCTAGTCTCGAACTCCCGACTTTGGGTGATGCTCCCGCCTCAGCCTCCTAATGTGCTGGCATTATAGGCGAGAGCCACCGTAACCGGCCAAGCATGATTTTTTAGAAGCATAATCAAACAGCATACTTGGAGTAACTCTTAATCATGTCCCTTTGTTTTTATCGTTATTGCTTTTCTGTGTATTTATTTTCATCCAAGAAATATATCAACTGTAGTTTATCAGCTTAAAATATAATTTATAACATAACCTATTATATATAGAATTCTGTGTTTTTAACATATTAAGAGAAACCAATCTGAATTCACTCCAGTAAATTACATTCTCTTTGGGAAAGAGAATACTGATGCTCTATTTTTCTTTTCATATGCAAGCCTACCTGAATGAGTGATGTTCTATTTTCCTAATTCAAGTCTTGGATAGGGCAAGTTTCTCACTCCAAATCTTTTAAAATATTTTACTTGATTATATATAAGTATCTGGTAAAATAACTTGGAAGAATTTGAAACATTCTAAAAGCTGATTTGCAAATTGATGAATGGATACACTTTAAAATGGTTAATTTTGTGTTATGTGAATTTTACCTCAATTAAAAAGAAAACTGATGAAAGGAAACTTCACTTCTGGCCGTAATAGAGTAGCTGAATTAGGCTTGCTTTTCCCACACCAATAACTAGAAGACTGAAAAATTGATAAAATATAGATACATAATATATGTATAAAATATATAAAATAAGTGCTTTCAGATACTGGATAACAGCTCAGGACTGTGATCTCTGAAAGAAAACTTGAGAAAAACGAGGCAGGTCCTATGACGGCCTAGCTTTCTCCCTGGAGACTCCAGAAAGTAGGGTCAGGAGGGGGAACCCAAACAGACAAGGCAACCTTGCTGAGCTGAGGATAACGAGGTTGGAATATGGAGAGGCAAATAGAATTTTGGGGGCACAGTATCAGAAAAGAGAGCAACAAAGAGAAAAAATTCCAGAAATCTACATGGAGTCCCCTTGAATCTTTGGCTGAATACTAAGCTGCTAATGCGTAGGGTAATACCACGTGAGGCTGGACAACAGACGACTTGTGGGGAAGGAAAAACTGTGGGACATTTTTAAGCTAACCCAGGGTTCACCCAGCTCTGGGAAACAAAGTCCAACAACAGCGGAGCACCCCCACTGAATACCCAGGTAATTTAGTAGAGAAACAAGAGGTCGTGGCTTACCAGTAGGATGAAATTAACCCCAGCGTAAAGGCTACCTTAGAGCCACCCTAACAAGGATTAAGTTGATTCATATGAAATTCAAGTGCCCACGAAAACAAAATTCAACAATTGTTACATGAAGACAACTAAATCCAGACACTCAGCAATGTAACATGTAAAATGTCTATAATCTAGGCCAGGTGTGGGGGCGCAT